CTAAATGCTTTGTTCGTTCTGAATATTTGAGTTTGTCCAATGTAACTGTTTGTATAACAGCATTGTTATTGTAATAGATATTAATTGGTGTATCAGAGACCTGCAGAATCTCTTCAGCTAAATGAGTAAGTATGATTGCTTCCTGTGTTCCTCTTACAAGAGCTATTAATTCAGCTTCATACATTGAATTTGCCACCAGTGTTTGTCTTTTACTTGACCATGAAACTAATGAATTGCTCAAGTAAAATGCATATCCTGATATTGTATGATGCCCTTCTTGCATCATACTGTCTGCATCTGTATAACTGTTCAATATTGATTGATTTGTGCTGCCAAGTTGGAGCCAGACATTGCTTGTAGTTTTTAAGTACATGTAACAATGTTTAAGTGCTAGATAATGCTCCATACCAGGGTCATTAAGGTATTTTGCTAACTGATTTGTTGCAAATGCTATATCTGGCTGTATACAGTCTGTAATGTATCTAAGTGTACCAACCATGTTCATGTATAGTATATCAGACATTTGTTTTCTATTGTTATCAGTTTGTGATACTGTTTTTAATTGTGTACCAGGCTGTATGGGTGTTTGTACACTTTGTTTGTTTGTAAGTTTGTAACATTCTATTATACTATTAATATAATGTGTCTGACACATTCTGATGAATCTATACTCTCTGTCACATTGAATCTCTATACTAAGTAGCCAGTGTAATTCACTACTGTCTGTATATTGTAAATGATGTACAATAGATTGTTTTATCATTGTAATAGTATTATTATTCTTTGCCACAATAGTAATATTGTCAACATGTACAAATAATATAGTTACAGTTATTTCTTTCTTCTTTACAAAGAATATGGTGTTATCATGTTCAGATTTTGTTAATCCACATTTAAGTAGTATATTAGATAGTGTTTTATACCATCTTCTACCAGCTTGTTTTAATCTGTATAGTGCTTTTTGTAATCATAATATTTGTCCATTCTGTAATCTGTCTATTAAGTTACCTGAAGGAGGTTTAACATATATTTCTTTGTCTTCTGTCAATTGTCCATACAGATATGCTGATTTTATATCTATCTGATGTATTTCATAATTATTAGATACTACTCATGCAAATATTAATTGCACTGTAGATAGTCTAGCAGTAGGAGCAAATAAATTGTCTGTATAATAGTCAAGACTGTCAATCTGATAGTTTCCTTGAACTACTAATTGTGCTTTATATTTTTCTATACTATTATCAGTGTATTGCTTTATTTTATAGACAAATTGTGTTCTGATAATGTTAATATTATTGTGTGGATTTGTGATTTCCCATGTATTATGATTTTCTAATTGTTTTATTTTGTCTTTCATAGCTGTAATCTATGAATCACAATCCAGACATTGGATTGCTTTATAAAATGAAGTTGGATCCAATTGTATTTCACTTATTTTAGCATTAAATTCTGTTAAATGAATGGCAATATTATCTTCATCCTTTTTGCTAAGTGTATACATGTGTTTTGTTATGTATTTATTCTCCATACATTGTTCAAGCTTGATAGCACATTCTGTTAGTTTCTGTTTCTGTTCTGATTGATGTAATTTAGGTTCTACTTCTTTTTTGGTTAATTTAACTTTGTTGTCTGTTAAGTCTGTTGGTTCTGCTGCTTTTCCTTTTTTGTTAGGATCAGCATTGTCTGTATCATCATTGTCTGTTCTTGTTATTCTATTGTCTGTTTTGTTATTTTTAATTATTAAACACTTGTTTGTATTGTTGTTTGTATTGTCTATTTTCTCCCCTTCAATTTGAGGAGGTTTACCTTTGAGAAATTGAATATTTTGTTTGATGGTAATTTTATTATTGTGCCAAGTTTTATAGCCTTTACTTTCATTGTCTAATCCTATCCAACAAGCAATGATACCTTACTGTTGTATTTTTGTAGGATTTTCATTGTGAATGATAATATATTGACCAAATTTGTATATGTTATCAATTGTTCTGTGTGTTCCATAACGTTTGTAATGTAGAGTATTGTAATTTAAAGTAGCACACAGTGTTCTATTATGAATATAGGTAATATGAATTGCTGCTTCAGCCTATAATGTAAACAGTAATTCAGTAGATGTTAGATATGCTCTTACACCTCTAAATATAGTTTTATGTGTTTGTTCCACTATTCTGTTCTGTTGTAGAGTATGATGTACTGTTAATCTTTGTTTTGTTCCTTGTGAATCTAAATATTGTTGGAAATCTTTACTAAGGAATACAGTATCATTATCACTTTGTAAAAGCTTTATTTTAACTCTGTACTGTGTAAATATTTTAGTTGTCCATTATACATATTACATATATGCATTGGATTTTGTTTGTAATTTGAGCATTATGCACCAACAAGTAGAATTGTCTACAATTGTTAATAAGTAGCATATGTTCTTATATGTGTACAGTTCAATAGGACCAATGATATTAATATGAATAAGATCTCTAAATTGATTTGTAAGAGGAGATTGACATAGTTTTAGTATTAGTGTACATTCAATATTTGCTTTTATACATTCAATACATTCTTTTTCTTTGTAGTTTGTTATTTTAGTTGATAGTACACTTGGTTGTGTCTTTAATAATTGTTTAATATAATCATAACTTATGTGTCTGAGGTGTTTATGTATATCATAAATAGATAGTTTGTTCATTGTTTTTAATAAATGATTATTGTACAAAATATACAAGTTATTTCTCAATCATATATGTCTGATGTATTCATTACATGGTGATGTTATAGTACAATTATTGTTTGTAAACATAAAAGAATAACCTTCCCTATATAGTAGCACTTGACTTATGAGGGAAAAGGTTATTTGCAGATAGTAATAGATGTTTTGTAATGTTATGATGCTTTTTTCTTGTATATTCTTCAGGATTTTGATACACATAGATCCAGCTCGATTAAGAGTCATTGTTGACCTATTTGCAATAGTTACAATTGTAGGAGTTATGTTGTGTACATCTGTTAATCAAAATAGATAAGGAGTAGCATGTATTGATGCACCAGAATCAAGTAAATCCATTGTTTGCATATAGGATTTCTTGTTAGCTATGATTGTATTTGTAAATATGTTAGTACATACTCAGGAAACATATTGTTCAAATTGTTTGTCCTGGTTGCTCAGAATAAGAGTATAAGTGTTATTGTTCATTTCAATGTTACCTTCTTTTAATTCAACATTGTTTTCGTTTAGGTTTTCAATAATAAATGTGTTTGTTGTGTTTTCCACAGTTTGATTTGTTTTATGTGTGATGTTAGCCTGATGTTTGGTGTGTGCAAGCTTTGTAGCTTCAGTAGGAGGTTTGCAGCATTCCTTAGAGAAATGTCCTGTTTTTCCACAATTGAAACATTTTGCTTTTGTCAGATTGAACAGATTTGGCAGATTGAATTTCCTCTGCTTATTAGCTTTATACATTGTATTAATGTGTACATTATTCTTTGTCCAATCATTGGAATCTTGTGCTTGTTTAGCACAGTAATTGTTGTAAGCATTCTACAATGTAAGGATTAGTTGCTTCAGTTTGACTTTCTTATGTTCATTGACTAGTTTGCCTTTGTTTTGGGCATTAGTAGATTGTATTATTGTATTTACTACATGTGTATATTGCTCAGGAGTAGCAAGCAATATTACTGCTTTGTATGTAGAGTTGCATAGTGGATCACTGTTAGCAGACAGAGTTGCATATGCTTCCTCAAGTCTGTCTAATGTATGTCCAAAATGTTTTACATGGTCTCTACAAATAAACAGTGCCAATTCATCAATAGCCTTTTTACATACTGTCTGGGGGTTAAAGCATTCTTCAAGCACTTTCATTAACTGAGGGATAGACGTATCAAAGTGCATATAGTTTGCCAATATTGTGTTAGCAATGTTATTGACTATGCATGCATGAATGGCCTTAGCCATCTCCCTCTCAGCTTCATTCTGCAGTTCATCCTTTAGTAAGTGTTTGAAGCACATAGCTGTAACACTAGAAACAATGTAGTAGTGCCACATCTTGTAGTTTGCTTTGGTCTTAAGCATTGTGATGTTTTGACTGAAGTATTTAGGTACATTGGCTGGTTTACAGTGTGTATCTGTATGTGGGGGAACCATGATGCAAATGTGTGCAAATGTATGCAAGTAAAGAGTTTAGAGTGTACAGTGGATGCATGTATGCAGGGAGCTCAAGGCTCATAACCTGTTAAGAGGGAGAACTTAAGGGGGGCATGTATAGACAAGGGGTGAGGTGACAATTGACTACTCAGTGTCTCTTGTCCTTATATTGTATGTATTCTAACTGAGACATTATGAAGTCATTGTCTTGTGGTTTGTCTGTTGATGAACTAATCATCTCATAATAACTATTGTTATTTGTCAATGGATCAATCTTGTAAGTTCATTAGTATGGATCATATACACCTCTGTTCAATTCCTGTTATACAGGTTCTTTAAAATCAAATATACTTACACATTAGGTTGATATTATTTAGGTGTACATAAGGCTACTGTGTGTAATACTGTTACTAGTAGTATTGTATGTATTTCTAGCATTTTCTTATGTTTAATCTTTCTACCTAGAGGGAAATGTTCTTAACAGAAACACCAAGCCTTTTGGCCTGCTTCAGAGACATTTGCATGAAAGAATGGATCAATATATTTTCACTTGCATTGAATGCAAGACTTGTAAATCTTGTCTGACAGTACTGTCTCCCTTAAAGTGTATAAATAAACTATATAGAGTTTTATAAATATGTAAGAATGTTTATACAATCTACTAATCCTTCTTAACATGGATTTGTCTACCTATTACAGTCTCAAATCACAAGAAGCAGAACAGGACCTGCAAATAAGCTCCTGTAGGAAAATCTGACAGGCTGTAATGTGGTTAGGTAAACCTTTAGACTCATTAATAAGTTATTAGTATTATCAGTTTTGAAACTAATATACTATAGACAGTTGTGTGTACTGTAGGTAAGTTGGCTGTTTAATGTCTGAAGATTATTGTATAACTGACTCTAGAAATGAGAATGTGTTACTGTGTGTTCTTGTGTAACACTTTTTATAGAGAAATAAACATATTAATACAACTAATACTTTTAAAGAGAGCCTTGAAAGTTCTGTCTGTTACAGTAGTAACAGTACAACACAAGTACATAGGCTGTGCATCATAAGAAGACTAGCACTGGCCATTGATTGTAGTTATGGAAGCAAGATACAATCAATAAAAAAAATGTCTTCAATTTTGAAAAAAAAAAACACAACTAATATAGTGTGATTTTTTCCTTTCTCAGAAATCAACAGACAACAGGTACACAGAGCCTTGCTACTAAGTTGCTAGAGACAAGTCAGCTCATTGTTTGACATTACTTTCTTGTCTTATTACAAGTAAGGCTTTAGATTGTGTTTGAAGTATATTTTAGTCTACAATCACAATCAACATCAGACTCTTGATAGTGTTCCAAGCATGATGAACAGTACAGTACAAAAGCTATTTCCCATGCTCTCAACCCCCCTCTGCCCCCACCCCAGCATTGTCACCATTGTCCAACATATTGTGTCATTACTATTCATCCCTCCAAGCTTCAAAGTGTAACAAACGTATGTACCTGTCAACACTAGAATCAAATTAATAGCTCACCAGTCTTGCTCACTTTGCAAGGCGTCTGCCAACACAATTTCGACACTGGTCGCCACACCCTAAGATTACCTTACATACCGTGCATTCGCCACTATTCAGGACAGGAGGGACTACACTCTCATGGATGTCTGGTACGCTTACTTGCAGGAGCTCTTCTTGTAGTCTCAAATTCAGATTCAACACAGGTTCGGAAAATAAGAAAGCACTCTGGCATTCAAAGCTCGCATTAATTCAGTGTTGCAACTGCCAGCAAACAGCACACTATCTACGCGAGCGATATCACCGACAGTGGCGAATGGAAGACTTGGAAGAAGCTATAGTATTGTGCCGTGCTGCTCTGAGTCTTTGTCCCGAGGGCCATCCGAATCGGTCTTACGCATTGGGCGATCTAGCAAGTTCCCTGACCATCAGATACCAGCGAAGCGGACGGCCAGAGGATCTTGAAGAATCAATTGAACTACATCGTGCTGCTCTTAATCTTCATTCTGACAATCATCTGGATCTGTCTTATTCGTTGAGCAATTTAGCACGTTCCCTGAACTCCAGATACCAGCGAAGCGGACGGCTAGAGGATCTTGAAGAATCAATTGAACAGCGCCGTGCTGCTCTCACTCTTCAACCTAAGGGTCATCCGGATCGAACTCGTTCATTGGGCAATCTAGCGATTTCCCTGCACACCAGATATCAGCGAAGTGGTCGGTCATTAGACCTTGAAGAAGCGATTGAACTGCACCGTGCTGCTCTCGCTCTTCGCCCTGAGGGTCATTGGATTCGGTCTCATTCGTTGGATAATCTGGCAACTTCCCTGCGCACCAGATACGAGCAGAGTGGACAGTCGGAGGATCTTGAAGAAGCGATTGAATTGCACCGTGCTGCTCTCAGTCTTCGCCCTGAGGGTCATCCGGATCGGTCCAATTCATTGGGCAACCTAGCAGGTTCGTTGGACACCAGATACCAGCGAAGCGGACAGTCAGAGGATCTTGAAGAAACAATTGAACTGCACCATGCTGCTCTCACTCTTCAACCTAAGGGTCATCCGGATCGTTCCAATTCATTGAACAATCTAGCAAGTTCCCTGCACACTAAATACCATAGAAGCGGTCGGTTAGAGGATCTTGAAGAATCAATCGATTTGCATCGTGCAGTTCTCACCCTTCGACCCGAGGGGCATCCATATCGGTCTCGTTCATTGGACAATCTAGCGATTTCCCTGCGCACCAGATACCAGCGAAGCGGACAGTTAGAGGATATTGAAGAATCAATTGAACTGCGCCGTGCTGCTCTCACTCTTCAACCTGAGGGCCATCCAGATCGGACTTCGTCTTTAAACATTCTCGCTAACGCATTATTCTCTCAATTTGAACAGCTTCAACACGCACATGATTTTGAAGAGTGTGTACGCCTACTAGAGCAATCCACAGGTCATCTGTTCTCCAGTTCATTGGACCGTTTGAAAGCTGCTCGACGATGGACAGTATTTGCAAGAATATATCGCCACAATACCACTCTGCGGGCTTATCACGAGGTGATGTCGCTGTTGCAACGAGCCCTTACTATCAGTCCTACCCTTTATGCACAACATGACTTTCTTGTTAGGAATCGAGAATATGGAGCCTTGGCTGTGGAAGCGGCCTCTCATGCCATAGAGGAGGGGGAGCTTGATCAGGCTGTCGAGCTGCTGGAGCAGGGAAGGGCATTGCTTTGGGCACAGATGCGCGGGTTTAGGACCCCTCTTGACCGGCTCGTGGAGATGAACAAAGAGCTTGCCGACCGCTTCCAAAATGTTAGTCGCCAATTGGAAGATCTTGCAACATCGTCCGAGAAGCAAGTTTTCAAGTCGAGCCCCGCTCTTGTGCATGATATACGAGATAAGACAGAGCTTCTAGACGAGATGTTAAGACGCCGGCGGACGTTAATAGAAGAGCTGGACAAATTGACAGACAAAATTCGATGTGTCCCCGGGTTTGAGAACTTTCTCAAAACTGCACGCTTTGAAACATTGCGACTCGCCGCTTCAGAGGGTCCCGTCATCATGATAAACCACAGTGAATATCGATGCGACGCACTCATCATTACGCCTACTGGAACTGGTCCGCCACTAGTCTGTGTCCCGCTGGACAATGACTTCTATGAAGAGTCCTGCAAGCTGTGCCAAGGGCTTGTTGAGACTCGGATACGGAATAAGCCTGGCTCAAATGAGTATGACAAGAAGCTCCGCGAATCCATGAAGATGTTGTGGGACAAGGTCGTTTCGAAGGTCATCGATAGATTTAAGGAACTCGGGATTGCTAGAGGATCGCGTATTTGGTGGTGTCCAACATCGGTGCTGTCAGTACTTCCCTTTCATGCAGCTGGTCCATATCATGGCTCAGATGGAACGATGAAATATTTATGCGACGATTATATCTCGTCGTACACTCCAACACTTGGAGCCCTCATCAATGCACAATCGTACAACCCTGGACGTGATCCGGAAATTCTTATTGTTGCAGACACCAAATCTCTCGACTCAACCAAGATGGAGGTTATTACCATCCGAAACCAAACTCGCATCTACGGGACGAAACCCAAGGTACTCCTCAACAATAGGGCATCGCATGAGGCAGTGATCAAGACCTTGCGGAAAGCCACATGGGTTCATTTGCCTGCCACGGACACCTGGACGAGAAGCCGTTCGGTTCTTCCTTCAAACTACCTGATGGTGGTTTGACATTACTCGACATTGTCAAAGCGAACCTGCCGAATGCCGAGTTTGCATTTCTTTCCGCTTGCCATACTGCCGAGCAACCTCATCTTGGAACATACGACGAGGTACTACACCTAGCAGCGGCGATGCAATTCTGTGGGTTTCGGAGCGTGATCGGCACAATGTGGGAGCTGTATGATCCAGACGGTCCTCCTCTAGCTAGAGGTGTTTATAAATACCTTGCCGAGAGCGAGGAGAATGAAGGGAGGTATAAGAGGGCTGCTGCAGGACTTCGAGGGGCTGTTGTGGCATTGAAAGCTAAGGAAGGGATTCGGACTGAGAGATGGGTTAACATGATACACATTGGTGCTTAATAGACATACCTTTTTGTTATGCATCTGTCAGTCGTCCAAGTCTCCTTGTAGTGCTATCCTCAGATGTAATTCATGCATTATATTATTGTTATTGTTATCTTTTTCTTTGTTTTTGTCCTGCCCCGAATCAAAGAGTCTAGAAAGACCATGTTATGATTTAATATTCACAGAAACAAATCACAGCATCACAACTGTTAGCGAGTCCATAACCTTCACCTGTTTCGCCAGTCAAACACAGGCAAGGATACTGGACAGAGATGCGTTGCTCAAGTTAAATTGAAAACAGGAATAGTATGCGCGACTCGGCCGGGCAAGGGAAGACCAGATGAAACTACTTCAACAAGTAGGGATAGTTCGTGTCCGTGATGGATTTCTGTTGTTCTCCTAGTCTTCACAGCCTATGGTGAAAGCATTCGTCCGGATACAGTACGAAGGAAGAAGATCGATGTAAGTCGAGTCGTTGGATTAAGGCACACCAAGTCTATCGAATTGGACCACCCAAACGGACCACGCGAATCTCTTCCTCTTGCGGTATCCATAACCACCTCGCTCCACGAGTCTCGTTAGCCGTCTGAGTTACTGCCAACGCACGAGCAGGTCTAGCTAGTTGAGCACCACCAAGGAGTACACCAAGCTGTTCGCCTGTTTGTAATACCCAAGCACGGATCCTACGGTCTTGGCCTTCGGCGAATAGGAAGGATGAGGTAGGGTCGATCGTGATTCCCTTAAAGAAAGAGAAGAAGCGGGATGAGCATGAGCACGGATAACGTTAAAAAGAAAGTTCGAGGGACTTATAGAGGGACTTACGAGATCGAGAAGGTACGAATTGACGTGTCCGTCGTATTTTATTATAGGTTGTACTCTATTACCTGTAGCGAAGCGTAGGTCGAACATCTCAAGCTGCCATTTATGGATGATTAGTTGAGTGATGAGGGATTAGACGTATAGAAGACGTTGAAATGACGTACCTCTCCGGCACTTGTTGCGACAAGCATTTCCCAATCTCCGACTGTTTGTAAGCGTGTTATTGCGGAATGTGTACCCTTGGGCTTTGTCCCAGGTAATGACGGAGGGCTTGTGTCGATTTTCCTGGAGAAACGGGACCCAAATAGCTCGGTACTCGCATCACCGCGAGTACGCACGTCGAATAATCGCACTTCTCCGTTTCTCAATCCGGCGGTGATAGTGTTCTGAATGAAGGAGCGGCCAGTTAGGACAATGATAGACTTGTTTTAAAAAGGCCACTTGCCGAGCTTTGTGCTATTGACAAGATGTCACTCTTAGTTTGAAGGGTTCGGTGACCCTTGATGGGCCCGCTAACATCCTTAATCCATACTAGTTTCCGGGACATACCTGTAGAGTATTCGATAATGTTACCTAGTGTTAGTTGTTTAGGGGACTCACCAAGAGCCAGACTCTTGTTTAAAAGATCTGCAGCTCGTATATCCCCGGCTACATTCAAGCGTGGCTTAGAAAATAGAAATAAAAACAGTGATCAGTTCATTAGGCAATCCTAACATGGTAGACGGTGCTCACAAATAGAACGCCAGAATAATCCGAGGCATTTAGATCACGAACACCGAGGAAGCACGAATCACATGTACTGGTTACAGCACTGTCAAAACAACATCAAATTTAACGAACTTCCGCAATCGAGAATAGAATAGAGACAACTTACACTGCGATGTTTCCAGACCTCGTAATGTGTGAGACGGGCGTTCCCGATCCCAAATGGTAAGACGTAAAAAGTCGTGAATTGTCGTTAAACCGGTCAGGCCCGGCGTTTATTCTTAAAAGAGACTTGATGACTGCCCGAGAGCAGTGGAACACACCACGGGAATCACCGACGAGCACGTTCAGGGTATCATCAACAGTAGCAGCCTATTTTGAACGGACTAGGATGAATACAGCTTTGAGAATGGTGAATGAATGGGCATCATACGTGGAAAGATGATATTTGACATGTCTGCCAGGACAGCGGTCGGACGGGTGGATCGAGCTCTGTATATGAAGCCACCAGTGACTTCCCTTCTAATTCTCTAAAAAGAACATATATCAATTTACAAATGCTCTTGGTATTGACAATAAGACATACTGCGTGATTCGAGCTCTTTGAGAGTAGCCTTTCGTTCCTATGCGCAATGCTCTTGGATATGTGGCGGTAGCAGCTGATCGATGTCCTTCAGTTTGTCGTCTATTATCATCTGATACTTTATAAGGTGTTTCTCTAGGTCCTTCGTCTGTAGTTTTTCGTTTCGGCCTGGAAGCAATTGGGAAATATCGCTTCTTTTCATCGTCCCAGTAGAGTCCTGGCAGGTCCAGAGGTTTGCCACCGCGCGACATGGGGCCTAAAGGTGGTCTCTCACAGCGACTGGCCACCTAGATAGGGCACAGGGATGGAAGAAGGCAGAGATGCAAGCGGCATGAGGTGAATACTGCTGGCATGGAGCAACCCTCAAAGATGCACAGAGGGGTGGAGACAAAATTGTCGACGATCAACGCTTGCCGTAAAAGAGCATCATGACGTCACATGACCTCTTCGCCATGAGCCAATTCGGTGTCCCGGTTCCGATCAACTTGTTCCCATTCCTCCCGAGTTTCTCTCCTTCGTTCAACCATGTCTACCATCGCGCTTCGTCGCGTTCTTGCCCATGTGCCGCGGAGATGTGCGCAGAGGACATCGGCGAGCTTGCGTGTGGGCGGTAGACGCGGCATGGCTTCGGACGCGCACGGTGCGAAAAAGTCCAGCGATACTGCTTGGCTCGTAAGTTCGATCAACTGGTGTTTTACTGTATATCCATATTGCATGATATTCCGAAGCTGATTAATATGCGATAACTTATTAGATTGGCTCCGGCGTCGTCACTGCGCTTGGTGTGCGTTTTCATGTCACACGTCATCTGCTGAGCGGATTACTCATATACTCTGTTAATCGACCGATTTTCCTATTCCTTTTGCAACCCGGGCGCGCCTTCTGTCTTGTAAATGAATTATTTATGTTTGCTAGGCTGCTTGGATCCTTTCGCCACCGTCGAAGAAGCCAGCACACTCCGCTGCAAAGGCCGCAAAAGCTCCCATCGAGCACGCCCTTCCGCCCCCAGAGAAGGAGACGCAGAAAGAACCTCAAACGATGAAAGACTCTGAGGGGACTGAGGCAGACGTTACCGAAAGTCAAAAGGCTAGCTTCGTACGTTCAGCAACTCTCTTGGATTGCAACGCAAAAGTTTCTCACGGCAATTCGCAGGATGCGGATTCACCAAAGGACGCTCAAGAATCCGAAGAATCCGGTTCTGCTGAAGACACTCGCTTTGACGACGGTGCACCAGGTCAAACTGCAGAAGTGCATGAAGAAGAAAAACCTGAGCAAAAGGAGAAGCCGGGCAAAACAGAACGAACTGGAACTCTTCAGGACAAACCCGGACCAACAAATCTCGGCGAAGCACGGAAGCAGGCTAAGGTGAGTTGTGATCAACCTAGGTGCTCCATTCCCGTTCATCGTTTATATCTGTGTTGAACTTATTGTCGAACCGCCACTGATTACTCTGTCTCTATCACCAATGCAGGAAGAAGGGAATGCACCAAAGGAGGCGGCAAAGGAGACTGAAAAGCAATCCGAATCTTCTTAGAAGTTGTGTATTTACTTCTGTTGCTTTTAAAATCACAAGTCATGAGCCTCACTTATTAAATACGACTCAAATACAATTATCTTCCGGATCATTGAGCATTTGAGTAACAAGAAGCTGTTATGCTCAGTAAGAAGTGGTTAAACCTCTCTTCTAGTTCTACTATACTCTGCGTTGTATTGTAACACAATGGACATGCATCCTCATTGAATACAACCTGCATTTCCTTTCTTCGTCAACATACTGGCTACACCTTCGATTGTCTACAAGAATCGCAAGTTGATCCTGTCGGGTCCTTACGGTTGTACAAAATTACAATTAACGTTCTTAACTCCAACCCAGGACTGAATAAAACCTCCAAATCTAGAGTGTAAATTTTGTAACAAACGTGTGAAGCTACTTTACTTAAATGCATACAAGCAAGAATGATTCTTCCTGTTTGTGTTTCCATACAGGGTTAACCAGATGTAAGGTAGGATAGGCGTAAACATAATGGATATAGTGTAAACCTGAGCAGAATAGATATCCACGGCCATAGGACTCAGAAAATGCCGCATCCCGTCCGATCTGCGCAGTTAACCTGAGTGCCGCCTAGTTAGTACCACGGTGGGGGACCACGCGGGAATCCTGGGTGCTGTGGTTTTTCTCTAATCTCATATTTTTTCTTCACGCCACTTTCCCTAACTACTCAGAATCAAATTACGGTCTAATATAGTAGAGCAGGATTTTGGTCCAAGTTTATAGCATAGCATTCCGAAAGTTATCGTTACAACATACTATTTACGTAATCACAATATATATTGGAGGGAATAGAGATGCAATAAAATTAACAGTTAACATGGGCTGACATCTTATCGTTTTCGCTTTCTAGTAGCAATGGTTCTGCCTCTCGCACGAGTGACTGGTTTCCTTCCCCTTCTCGTTCTGCGTGCTTCATCTTAAGAATACGCAGGTAAGAATGAGAGTAAAGTAGTAAAAGTTGAGTCGAAGATTACCTTCACCCTTTTCTTCTTCTTCCTCTTCTGCATTATCCGTATCACCATCTGTACCGGATGCAGCACTCGTAGCCCGCTTCTCGCTAGGAGTTTGCGCCTGTCCATTCGTTTCGTCACCTTCATCTCCGCTTTGCTGTGTTAGGTCGCTGCTATCACTGTCTCCGCTAACAAGGCCCGCAAGGTCCGCCTTACTGGGTTCGTTACTTGCTTTGCGTTTTCGTCCACGCTTGCTGGCTCCCTCGGATGAATTACGTGCAGGTGCCGGTGAGGCGGTCGACATGGGAGACTCAGTGGCTCGTATTCGACGTTCAGCTTGTAACGACTCGATGAACCCGTCTGGCGGAAGTGAGAACTCCTCGCGGAAGAAAGGATGCGTTTGGAGGTTGTCTCCCTCTTTGGGAGATGCGGTTGGTTGAGGAGTAGAGGAATCAGACTGAGTGTTATTCCCTGATTCGTACTCAGCCTCCTAGAAGTGTATCCCCATCACACAAGTTCGAATTCAATACCATATACGTTTTTCCAAAGAGAAGAGAGAAGAGGAAGTCAAAGTCAGGCAGACATACCAGTGCTTCCAAAGCTTCCAGGTTATAACAACTTTCGAGTTTTCGCCAAATTTCGTCAACGGACACGGATTGTTTTGTACCCTTTTCGATTGCGGCTTGTATGGACATTACGTGGAAATGTCGGTTTATGCCGACTGGGCGAGCGCGCATGAGTGCACGGAAGAAGTGAATCTCGCCCTCGACGGTATCCAGTACAGTTTGAGGTTCATTGTCTGTAGCGTCGGGCGTGTAGACGACGTCCATAGCAGATGTGTAGACAGTCCAGTGAAGAGGCACGCGTTACGCGCGTCAAAGTTTGAAGTCGCGTCCACCTCCTGTTCCCGACCACCGTGAACGCACTCACTGTTCTAGTGCTACACATATCTCAATAGGCTACACATATTTCTCCCCCTAATTACTGTGACATAGATGGAGTCTCTTGAGACGCGTTCAAGAGACGTGCAGGAGAAGACATTCTGTAAATGGTATGCTCATGTAATGACTTGCCGTTTGGACAACCCACTCAATGAAGCGACTAGGTTAAATACAAAGCTGGAAGCGCATGGATATCCTCCAATGACATCGCTCGTGAAGGAACTGTCTGATGGTGTAAAGCTAATTCAACTTATGGTGTGTGACCACATTCTACGTTCCGACTCCCCTAAGTTGTTCACGTCCACTCCTTTCTTGTGTAGGAAATAATGGGTATGAGCACCGCTCAGTATATTAATGCGTGGTATCTCATGGAAGCATAGGTGATGTATCTCTGGGTCGGTACAATAAGAACCCACGAATGCGCATACAGAAGGCCGAGAACGTCAATCTCGCGCTCGAGTTTATCAACTCGCGTGGAGTGAAGCTCACGAATATAGGACCAGAAGGTACGTTCATCTTATATCAAGCATAAACATTCTTGTTGATTGAAGCCCTGATGTACAGATATTATCGATGGCAACCTGAAGCTAATTCTCGGAATGATCTGGACTCTTATTCTACGATTCACTATCGCGGACATCAGGTTAGCCAACCTTCAACTTCGTGTATTTTTGTAACTCAAACGATATCGATAGTGAAGAGGGTTTGTCGGCGAAGGAAGGCCTTCTATTGTGGTGCCAGCGGAAGACGCAACCTTATGAGAACGTCAACGTTCAAGACTTCACGTACAGCTGGACTGATGGGCTTGCATTGCACGTCATCACCACTTATTCTCATGAGTTCCGATAATGACTAATGCAAATTCAACAGATGTGCTCTGATAAACTGCCATCGACCAGACTTACTCGATTACGATTCCTTAGACAAAGTGCGTGACCCCTTTGTTCGATATATGCGGTGGAAACCATTGTTCATGCCTTTGATTTGATTAGACTGATCGACATGCGAATACCCGTTTAGCATTCCGTATCGCCGAGGAGCATCTTGGCATTCCTGTAAGTTGAACGTGATTTCTTACAAGGAGCCTGTTGAACAGAAATATGCAGCAACTACTAGATGTCGAAGATTTATGCGAAGCGGCCCGACCTGACGAGAAGAGTGTGATGACTTACGTTGCGAGTTACTTCCATGCCTTCTCGTCTATGGGTAAGTTCTGTTACGTATACTCCGGAATATACTAACGAACTGATAATTAGATCAGGCCGAGACGGTTTCTCGACGTGTCGAGAAGTTCGCCGAGCTTATGCAATCGGTTTGGTTTAGTAGGAATGATTACGAACGACGAGTTCGCGCGGTAAGCCAAATGGGTCTTAAAGTCGTTTCTGAACTCACGAAATGTATTATTACCAGTTACTTCATGCACTCAAGGAAAAGCAGGAGGATTGGGCTTCTGCATACTTCGATGGAACCTACGCAGGCGCGAAAGCACAATCCGCGGCATTTCTCACATACAAGCAAGCAGACAAGCGCAGATGGGTCGTTGAACGTCAGGATGTAGCGACTCTCTTCGGGAACGTACAGACGAAATTGCGAACTTACGGTCTACGGGAATACGTTCCGCCCCCAGGTCTCCGTCTGTCGGTTTGTTTCGTTCCATTTTCATAATCCATTTCACAAAAGAGTATTAGGTTGACGGCCGTTAATACAGGACCTTGATGAAGCATGGTCAGCTTTGTTAAAAGCAGAAACATCGTGGTCGAAAGCAATCAACGCAGAAATCCGACAGTAGGTACTTCTGAGTGATCTTCTGGAATTTCGTTTGACGATTACCGCAGAATAAAGGAATCATTACGGAAGCGATTCGCAGACCTTGCAAATGATTTTGAGCGGCGATTATACATGATATCCACCGACTTGGCTGCAATCGAAGGTCCCTTAGAGGTGGGTACCGTTTGTTTGCTTCACAAGGAGGTACATGCTTATATATATTCTTCAGGATCAACAACAGCAAGTGCAAGAGCTACAAAAGCGTATGAAGCCCTTTCCAGACTTGCTTGAGGCAGTCGTACGCGTAGAAGAGGAGTGCGTAGCAGCGAACGTGGACGAAAACGACTATACGGTGTTCACGTCTCAGGATTTGGCGTTCGAACTTGAGCTTGTTGTGCAGAGCATCGCCAAGAAGATTTCGTTCATTGATAACCAAGTACGCAGTCTTAACTTCTCATTATATGCGGTCGTTCGTGTATTGACAACAACTTTTTTCAGATCGTGTCGCGAAATATGACGAATTTGACTCCGGCGCAGCTAGAACAGTTCGAGAGCACGTTCCGCTACTTTGACCGCGATGAGTCAAATACCCTAAGTATATCCGAAATGGCCGCCGCACTTGCTAGCCTGGGTATCGTATATCCGGTGCGTAATCATCCATGATATAATTAACTACCCACTGATCGCAATCATCAAAATTCCAGGATGAGGATTTAGGAGTGATCTACGACCAACTTACGCAGGACTACGGCGCAGTCACGTTTGAGGCGTTCATCAATCTGCTCGTAGATATAACCGAAGACCAAACGACTCCGGACCAACTTCGCGAAGCGTTCCGTGGGATTGCAGGAGACAAGGTAAGTCCACTTCGTTTTCCTGATGAGTTTGAAACAGAGCCGGAGGACTGATGATGATGTGCGGCGCAGCCGTTTGTGACTGAGCTTGACCTGCGGGTTGCACATTTGCCTGCGAGCGCAGTTGAGTATCTGCGGGACGCGATGCCGAGTACGGAGAATGAGCTTGGGGAGACGTTACTGGACTATGAAGCCTGGCTAGACCGAGTGTTTGAATAGACTTCTTTTCTTTTTTCACTTTTACATAGAATGTTTTCTTTCCGTATTATCTTGATACTTGTATTTGACTTTACGTGTAATTCGTAATATGAATACTCTACGTAGTCTGAAATAAACGAGCGGGTGAGATTTACTCACATTGATGTGTGTGGCGACGGAAGGCTGTACTCAGTACTGCGTGCTGCGGCAATCGCCGTTGCCAATCACTTCAACTTACCTCCTTCACCTCTGACTTTCCCTATTTAACCACCTCCTTAACCCTCGTCCCGTCCTTGTCTACTCATCTCTGTAGTATCCAACAATGGTACGTACAAAGCTCCTCATTTCCATGAAGTCAACCTAACAGAAATCCTTCACCCTCCTTTATCTTGATCTCACTATATGCGCTATCACGATCACTTACGATCAACAACGCCGCATACCCTAGGCCTCAGGCGTCCAAGCAGACGAAGACTGCGTAAAGACATTCAACGACCTCAAGCTCCAACGCAGCTTCAAATACATCGTCTACGCTCTCTCATCCGACAACAAGCAGATCATCGTCGCTGATAAGGTCTCTTCCCCCTCTTCCAGTGGTGGTGGACAGGAAAAGTCGAACCGCGAGTTCTACGACGAGTTCGTGGCGAAGCTCCCCGCTGACGAACCGCGCTACGGGGTCTTTGACTTCGAGTTTGATAAAGAGGATGGAAGTGGACGGCGTAATAGGATTGTTTTCGTGAATTGGTGAGTTCAGTTCTGCAATCGTCTTCTATTTCCCTTGGGGGAGAGGGAATGTGAGGCGTCGTTTGTCGCTCGTTGTTTGTCGTGTGCCTCTGTCTTTCTTTCTCAATGTGGCGAGTACAAATACTAATCGATATGTGCGATTATCCCATTGTAGGGCTCCGGATATTTCGGGTATCAAGAAAAAGATGGTTTACTCATCTTCGAAAGAGGCGCTCCGTCGTGGACTTGTTGGCGTCCAGGTCGACATCCAAGCCACTGACCATGACGAAGTTTCTTTCGAAAACGGTACGTCTCACTCATAACCTTGCAATTCTCTTTTCTTTCTGTCGACTTGCCCCTTTGTTCAAATATGAACTATCCGATACTTCGTTGTTGTCGGATTGATCATACCCTTTACCCTACCCTATACTCCCCTTTAATTCTTGCTTATTTGTCCCGCATATATGCACGACCTCTACAACTAACGTCCTTTATCCCCTAGTCCTCGAGAAGTGCGAAAGGTTGCGCTAAACGTCAGCGGTGACGACCTACCATCCATCTTGTCTCACCATCTCTCTTACTCTGGTGCTGCTTTTAACCCACCCCCATAACATCTCTTGCTTTCCCGCATCACCGTCCACAAACGAGTTTGTCTGTACAAGACGTATGGTAGTAAGGAAAGGACAAGAAAATAACTCAGAAATATAAACTTATGTAGAACTTGATAAACGCGCAGCATAGCTCTTCACATCTACTCTTGCCTGAGCTGAGAATTCGGATTCGTTCAGGTCGTTGCATGGTAACTTTTTTTGTGTATATACGCGTGAATGCCGGCAACGTGTCATGTTCGTACGTATGAGTAGAGATTGAGGATATTAATGCCAGAACTACACTGCTCTATCTAAGCAAACAGACTATGGGGCATCTGTCCTTCTTTAGGGTTTAGGATTCAAAGGTGAAGGACGCGCCGACTTTGTGCGCTGCGGCGTCGTTACCGTTGAGCTTCGTCGTGTCGAGTGCGAGACCAAAGGAGGCCTTTACACCTGGACGGAGAGCCTGAGTGTAACCAAGGGAGAGAACACCAGTGTTGTTGATCTTCGCCTTGATGAATGCAGCCTGGTCGAGATAACTGCGAATTACAAAATCAGTACCTTGTAAAGAATGCGGATATAAATGAGATAAGCACTTACGTCTTGGTGCCAACTTCGAGGGAAACACCATCAGCAGGCTTCTTGGAGTTGTAGATTGCACGTCCACCAGCCTCCACATCACGGCTTACACGGTGATAGTAGCTCGCAGTGAACTGTGAGAGCTTGTTCGTCGCGAGGAGCGCAACAGCATATTCTGGAGCGCTGAAGCCAAGACCGGCAGCGTAGCCAGCAATCTGGCCGGTGCTGACGTTGTACTGCGCCTCAGCACCGAGCAAGAAGCCGTCGCGGCCGAGGATAGCGTCAGCAGTGAAGGTAGGACCCTAATCACGTAACGCGACAAGATTAGCGTGTCATTTCGACGTGTCGCGTGTCAGAGCGAAGTAGAAAGGAAAAAAAGACGCGACTTTTCCCGAATCTCCGGATGACGGGTCACCGCCGGACAGGAACAAGTGTAATAGACAGAAGTGTTAACGGAAAAAAAGTAAAAGTAAAACTTACCTTGAAGAGGTTGAGGTTCGCACGGGTGTGCAAGCCAGGAGTTTTGTACGCGGCGTTTAGGAGCACGTTCTTTGACGATGGCTGGACCTTCTCTCCAGCAGAGTATCCCGGAGTGATAGTCGCGTTTGCGTCGAGCTTGAGTCCGCTGACAAGGTTGTTTTCGAGCTCGACATTCGTCGTGAGTGCGTTGGCGGTTGTCCAAGACTGCGTGAGCGTGAGCCCGTGCTTGCGGTCGGTGTACTTCGTCTCGGCGACTGCGTTCACGCCAGTTGAAGGAATCGATGTGCCGTTGACCTTGAACGCGACACCAGATGGGGTGGTCGTCTTGACCTCGAGTTGGGTGCTGCCAATCGGGAAGTCCTTGCCAAGTAAGTCATTAGAGGACTTGCCGAGATCCTAGAAACAAACACATATATCAATATTCTAGCCAAAGAAAAACATATCTTGATAAAGGTAAAAAGAGAAAACCCACTTTCCAGGATGGCGGAACGGGCTGTGGGAGAGACATGTCGACGAGAGCAAGTGGGTGGAGGTTGGGAAACGTTTGGATGCTCGTCATCGGTCGGCGAGGATTTTGTGCGTGGATTATGTAAGGATCTGCGCACGTGCTATACGGTTTACCTCGGCGATTCGGAACTTCTAAGCTCTAGAGTCTAGATAGAGAACCAGTACATCTATTCTCTAGTCTTGCTCACATCTACTAATCTACTAGCTCACTCTGGCACTAAAAGTAATTTCTAATCTACGACTTATCACTGCTTTCCTGCGATACTTCCACCTCGTCAAAGACGTTGCTTACTGCTCTCCCCTCTTCAACTTCAACAGGTGACCGTGGTGGTGCACTAGTCCCACTGTCCTTCACGTCATTCGGGGTGATGGTAGCTCCGCCAAAGTAGGCACGGATGTCTTTCTGCGAAGGGTCATATGCCGAGCTCCCTATACCGCCATGCTGCCGTTTCTGTTTACAAAAGAGAATCAGGCTAAATCTAAAAGAACGCACAGATTAAAATTGCGTACCACTCTATCAAGGTGAGAATGCTCGTTGGTATGAGTGACCTTGATATGTAGAGGAAGTGGGTCTGTCGGATTAACTGCGAGTGTTTCGCCTTCCTTCCAGCCCTATTGCAAAGAACCGTCAGTAGTTTATCAGTGATTATCAAAGCCAGGCTTGCTCATACTCACGGCTATGTCGATCGTTAATCTCGACCATGCTGTGTTCATTAACCCTGTCCACTTCCCGCCATGAGCTCCGGCTTGTGCATTCCGGTCCTTCCGCACCAGTACCGCAATAAGCTCACTAATGCATAATCCATGGCTCACGATCGCAATGTGTGCTTTCTTCCCTGTCTGAGCAGCATTCCATATAAGTGGTACAACGAGCTCGTTAACGGCTTTCTCGCAGCGTGCTTGAAGGTCATCAAGACTCTCCCCACCTGGGAACTTCTCCGAGCGTCCGGTTAAGATCGGAAATATCCCCTGCGCATACATTTCTTCGCGCGTGGTGTCCTCGTCCATCTTTAGGCTCCATGCCTTACCTTCTGCAATTCCAAAGTATTGCTCGCGTACATCTGGAGACGCGGAAAAGGAAGGCTTGGGCTCTGGTTGCTCAGTAAGAATCGCTTGTGCGGTGTCAAATGCACGTTTGAGAGGCGAGGCATATATGTCTGTAAAGTGAGTATTGGTTGATGCGAAATATGCGGCCGCCGCTCTCGCTTGCTGATGTTTTTGGCGGTAAGTTCAATAGATTCGAGAGGTATAAATATGTTAACTGCATACATTCATTCCTGAAAATATGGCATATAAGAGTGCATATAGGCTGATTGAGCGAGAAATTCACCATGATTTGACAGTGGCGCATCTTGCCAGCCTGCCCATACTGATTTCTTGAACAAGTTCAAGTGGTGATCAATTTAGAGAAATATTAGGACTTTACCAAGTTATCTGTTGATTCGCCATGCCTAACCTTGTTTTCACGCCACATTCAGAAGACAGGAATAAATAAGAAAATATGCCAGACATACAAATGTAACGGTCACCAAGGACATTATGCGGTAAGGGTATTAGTATGCTGGACCTACAAGCGAGTGGTCCAAAGTCAACGTGTTCAAAAGCCTCCTCGCTCTTTCGGCTTTTGCTCTCCGGCGTACCGAGTCACAACAAAAGGTCGGAACAATCTTAGCGGACGCATAATAGGGTGTGTTAGTAAGCAATCGCTTTCGTAAGCCGGTAACTTTGTTCCGCTGCCTTTTACCGGGCTTCGAGCGTCCACTCAGGCCAGCCCTTGGCTTAGGCCGCGCGTTGGTGGGCACAGTGCATACCAGTGCTGACGCGTCCTTCTCTTTTATACCACGACGAGCTACCTTGTCACTCTACCTAGAACTCCCTTCATCATGGCGGGCACCCCATCCGACTCTCGCGCTGCTTTCGCCGTTGCTCCAGATCGACCTGATGGCGAACTACTCAACATTGGACAGCAATGCTCGGCTGTCCAGCAGAAATGCACTGTCGTCGACTACTTGCCCTTCGTATGTGACCATTGCAACAAGCGGTTCTGTCAGGACCACCGTCTTCCGGAGAGTCACTCATGCGAGAAGTGGGATGCGAACGCTGCTGACCGTAGAGCACTTGAATGTGCGTATCATTACCTCTGCTCAGCCACTTTCATTGATTATGCTGATGCACCATATAGGTCCATTATGCTCTGAACTTATTGCTATCCCGCCTGGCGAGGATCCGAATATTAAGCTTGGTAGACATGTCGATGAGGAGTGTGTAGTCATGACTGGCAAAGCTGCCAAGAAGTCGACCACTCCGTCATGTGCGAAAGCGCGTTGTGGAAAGCCACTTTGGCAGCCTATCACTTGCACGGTACGTATTCTCCCTAACTGATTATCAACGCCTCGACGCAGAATACTCATACATACTCGGTGTGTTTAGAATTGCCGTAAGCAGTTCTGCGCTCCTCACAGATACCCAACGGAACATGGCTGTTCCGCCGTTGTCACACCCGCACCTTCATCTGCATCTACGAAACACGCAAATCCGCTAGCAAATATCTCGCAACAAACTTCAGTGAAGAGTGCAGCAGCAATGGCAGCCATCAAACGTTCCCTCGCTTCTACTAATCTTGGCAATACCACTCCATCATCATCACCATCAACCGTTCAGCCTGCACCCGCTCTTGCTGCAGCGTCAAGCTCATCGTCCAGCACCTCTACCGGGACTTCCAAGCCCAAAATACCCTTCTCGGCGAAGGACCGGTGCGTAAACTCTCCTTCACCTCGCTTCAGGGAGTTCTCAAAATGTATCAGTCCTGAATCGCATGCTTCTCAATCTCAATTCAATGACGACGCTGCACCCGCAATTACTCCGGCCTCTCCGCCATCTCCGACGGTGCCGATCTCGAATGGTCGTTGTGCACAACCGACAACTTCTACGCTTTTCGACCCGTCTTCGTTTGTCCCTCGGCCTCTATTCGGACGCGCTTGATTGTTTTATCACATACTGTATCGCTATCATTTATCTCTCATCCTCACTGTATTCACAATTCATTATTGTACTTCGCTAATAATTCTACCCTACTTATTTTCCTCCCTTACCTCCTTCACAAACTTCATACCAATAACTTACTTGCACTAATAAAGCCGGGCAAATTCCGAGCGCAAATCTCAGCTCAAAGCTTTGGAGGACCGACAACGAAAAGGGGTACGTCCTTCCACTTCGCATACTTCTTTCTACTATCTAATAACTGGGGGCTTATGCTGATCTGACTTATCCTGGTAACTAGCTTTTGAGCGCACAAGACGAAGAACGACTAAGGGCTTTACAAGAGAGTGCCAAAGAGGAGAAGGAGTGTGTTGTCATGTAATGTTAATGTTCACATCGTAGCTTTCAATTTCTACTTCAGTGTCGCATTAATTCAATGGGATGGATTCAAGCGCTTCTAACACCTCTAATTATAGTCAGAGGCAAAGTGCTTTCATATAGTAGGCAAGGATGGATCAATAGCGCAATTGTTCTAATCCAATTCAACGACTGATACATTGAGTAACTTCAATGGACATACACACTAGCAAAACGCCTCATATCAATCTCTTGCTCAACCTATATATCTGAGAAACAATAGTTCTCTGTCTGGATAGAGTCAAGCAACAATATAATGTGAATTGTTCAAGCTGATATTTGCAGGCATGGGTAGACTAGTCATTGAGTTGCAGGTTATTAGAGTTAGATAAGCCTAAGGGCTAGAGTGTAAAGAGCAGAACAGAAATTTGATAAGTTACATACTGCATAGAACTTACCAGTACTACTTTTGCAAGCATACCATGTCCCCCTCTTCAGATCACAGGTCCTTTGGGTTTTGCGACAAACCAACTTCCTGATGACCTACTGGTCCGACAATTACAATAAATAGATTGTTTATACGTATTAACTGTACTTAAACAGGTCACATATACTAATTGTTTATTACAACTAAATGTCCATTGTATTCCAAGCCATCTGACTATCGACAAATGTCCGATAAAGTCTTAGTATGCGGTACCAAGAAACCCCAGAGGCATATATATCTTTAAAAGAGGATATTGCGTCCAGTCGCACGGCGTCTAGCCTTCTCCAATATACGAACTGCCTTGACCAATTCGCTTTCCGAGTCCGCATTGTGAGCAGGTCCATCCCTGCCTTGCAACATGTTCATGCTTGCAACTGGAGAGTTTGATGTCGAGTTGAAAATCGTGTTTACGATCTGACAGATCGTGCCTTCTTTGGGCAGGGTACCGTTCGCAAAATATGCACTTACTGCTTGGAAAGTGCATGGTGATGCGGCAGCAAGGGATGAATGCTGTTGAATCGTAAAGTCAATAGGGAATGTGGCAGTGGATCTGCAATATATATATATGCTTACGCCTGACGAATTCTGTGTCAACAAGACGGAGTTTTCGAAGCCTTTTGACATCTTCATTGCACTAATTGAACAAATTTGGTAAGTCGAATTTTGGAGATTTCTGAGGATACTTACTTCGCCAACGGTGTCACTGGGTCTGATTCGGCGAATTTGGAGTCATGAGTCCCTGTATTAACGGATTCGAGAGAAAGGTACGCACCAGCAGTATTCCCTATGAATAGCAATGGATAGCTTGTATTCTTCACGAAAGAACCTGATTGAAGGTGAGTACACTTCATGACGTAGAATCCGAATACACCCACCGTTGAACCGATCTTCTGCTCGAAGCGTCCAACCACTAGGGGTATATCAGTAGCCATTCCATGTAACCTAACCAAAACGAGTATAACGCACGAGCATAGCTGGTTGGCAAACCATGTTCCCGCGAACTCAGGAGAAAGCTTCGAGCCTATTTCAAGAGCAGACCGAGCGTAGTCGATGGTTTGTACATCATCCGTGACGATGTCGCCACACATAATAGTTGACAAGATCTCGGATAAACTGGCGACGAAGGGTTGTCCTGTTTGCGCTGGACATTCATCCTCAAGAAATTGACTTGCTGCGCTCCCAAACGAATCCGTGATAATTAGACTCGCGTTGCCTTGCTCAAGCAAGGCAAGTGCCTCTGTGAGCAGAGCACCATCAACATACGGTGAGTAGAGTGCTCCCAATATTTGATTTCGAACGGTAGCATAATCAATTATAGCTGAGTTAACTGCCGAGGTGTTGAAGAGCAGGACAGGCTCGGCGCGTAACTTGTTCACGAGATTTTCGATCCGCGAATGGACTTGAGCGGTAGTGTTCTCAAATATGGGGCAGAGAGATGGTCCAGCTTGCACACAAGCATCGAGGATTGTCGTGTATGCTTTGGTTGTGTCAAGAAGCATCCCAGTCCAATTACCTTTTAACCGGAAATTAGTAAAAGCGATGGCTTATTGCCGTCAACCAACAAACCCATGTAATACGCCTCGGAATCCACAACACCGTCGATGATAACGCGACCAATCTTATCCTGCAAGAATGGAAAATTCTGCTTAATATCAGTTCCGATATGAGGTACCAAATTACACACAGGAAACATTGAAGCAAAACTGTGGCAAAAATAGTTGGTAATCTTTAGATACGTACAGAAACCAAAACCACTCACGTTGCCCCGAGAACTGTCCCATATCTGAGCTAGGTATTATTAAAATATCGCTGTGAGTAATCGAATAAACTGACGAAAAGCCCCAGTATTGCAGCTTGTCCTGACCGGTTGCATTCATGATGCTAAGCATATCTTGCGCAACGGTAGGCGTTGATACCATCTTCGCCACATCCTTGGCACGCTCTTCAACAAGCTTCCCTAGGAGTGTTGTCTGAACGAAAGACCTCCCTAGAGAAGAAGCGGTGGCGTTAACGTCCAACACGCGCTGCGTGTAGAAGGCTCCTGCCTCAACCGAGTCTGCGAAGACGGATAAAGGCGGAGTGGTGAATCCGACACCTAGGCAAGTGACGAATTTAATTAATACCACAACGCTTTTCTCTTTTTCTGGCTGGGTCCAGTACCTCGTGGATCAAATCCGATCAAATCAAACTCTGGGCCAATAATTGTGCTCAATACGGCTCCTGTTTCAAGGATGAAATTCACGCCCGAGCCTCCAGGACCACCTAAATTATTCAGGAGTCAGGCGAGAGTCCTTTTTCAACAGAAAGCACGAGTACCTGGATTGAAGAGAATCGGTCCCTTATAATTTTCGTCAGTAGTCGACAGGTTAGACGGTAGCTTGATCAATGCGACGGCAGCTTGCGGTCCTGACGGATCAGAATAAAGCATAGGCACCTTGAATGAAATGCGATAAGGAGCAGAGATCATACGCCTTGTATATCGCTACGTACGGCAAGCCGAGCACATTGGAAAGCATCGTAACAGTTTGTCCAGTTCAAAGATGTTGAGGGTGTAAGCTGAGAAAGAATGTCAGAGAGGCCTGTAATGAACAAATGCACGAGCTTACATTTGTCCAGTTAAAGGTTGCTACATCGCGTGCGTGCAACTGATGGCTAGAGCTACCATGGACTACAGAAGTGAGAGAGCACAAGGAGAACAAGGTGGGTATAAGCATTGACAATATGCAGGACGAAGACAGGAGCGTAAGACTAGACTTGGTGTAGTATCACAAGTGGACGAAACACCCTTTTGCTATTTTTTCCTGAAAAGGACTCCTGTTTTTATACTCTCTAAATACTAAACTACGATAGCTGCGATCAGTAACTGGACCCACATCCGATATACAAGGAGCGCAGTAGACCAGCGCACTGATGCCCGACAGTTACCGAAGCAGATTGATTCCTATTGGAGCCATCGAATCACCAAAGCTGGGTTCATATGTCTTCTGCCTTGGCATACCTCGATTAACGGGAAAAGTAATATCAAATCAAATAGTGTCGAACGGAGAATCCGTACAGCTGCTGCGGTCATCCGGAGTTTCTCTATCGAGTATTTTGTAACGTCGGAATAAGAATTATCCCGGCCCCAGAGAGAGCACATGGTCATACAAAAGCAAAGCAACAGTGCGCCCGTAGCCTGTCATACTTTGCACAATATAAAGTGCGACAACATGCACTGCTTCTGAATTGCAGTCTATTCCCACGCTCTGAGTCATACTCTCTTGTTTTCGAATTTCGCACTAGTGTACCCGAGGTAACTCAGATGATACCCACATGTGGTTATCCACATGTGGTTAACCACGTGGATAACCACATAACCAACGGCCTTGTGCGAAAAGGCCGTGTGGGTAATGTTGGTAACTGTATATTAGATAATACAGTGAAACCTCTCATTAAGCATTGCCCTTGGTGGACATAAAAAGTAATGCTTATTAAGAGGTTATGCTTGTTAACAAGTAAAATTCTAGTGTCTACAAGAGTAATGGTAGACCTAAAATGTCATGCTTAATGAGAGGTTATGCTTAACAAGAGTAATGCTTAATGAGAGGTTTCACTGTACATGAATATAGTAATTTGTCCCTGTAAACAACCCTTGCAATGGAGAAAAAAAATTCACTGAGTAGTTTTGGTTTGAATACCGCATACAAGCATGTCTGTCGAAATTCTGAGCTTTGCTGAACTTGAAGAAAAGCTTCGGAATCTAAAAAATGCTCTTGGTATAAATGTACCTTAGACAAGCATTTGGCTCTTACTTGACCAACAAACATAGATTTTTTGACTTATATATTCTGTTATTTTGTTTTATTCACGCTTCGACCTGTAAATAGTGCACATATGCGTTATATTACCCTTAAAGTACATTGCTGAACTAATACATGATCGCTGCATACTAAAAACAGATACCCACATTACCCACATGTGGTTAACCAAGGCCAACAGGCCTTGGAAAATCGGCATGTGGGTATCTACGTTTCCCACATGCCCAAATGGGATTCCTCGGGTACACTATTTCGCACACTTGCACCTGTATTTGACTTGCACTAAAAAACTAGGCAATATTTGTCTGAGTGCAAATCTCGGCTCTGAGCTTTATAGGACTGGCGACGGAAATATATGTACTTTGCATTCTTTGTGCTACAACTTTGCAGCTTACATTGTCAGTCTAACCCTTCCCTGAAAACCAGCTTCCGGGTGCACAGGACGAAGACTGGCTAATAGCATTACAAGAGAGTGCCAAGGACAAGGAGTGTATCATCATGTAACATTAATTTGTACACTGTAATCCTTCCCCTCCTTTGCTCTCGAGTTAAAATTAAATTAGTTAAACGGAGTGACGAATTGTCACTACTCGACTCGATTTCCCATACACGATTGACTCGGAACAGTTTGCTTGTAAGTATTTATTGGAGATAAACGGGTCACGTATATTCTTGAGTGTGGTCTATCTCAACTGAAAGTCCACGGGTATCCGAGTCATCTATCTACTAACGACTGCTTACTGTAATAAAGTCTATGCATGCGGTGGTAGGAATCCCTAGACATAGATGTATCTTCAATAGAACATCCCGCGTCCGTTTGCACGTTGTCTGGCCTTCTGCAATGTGTGAACTGCTTTAAACAATTCACTTTCCGTGTCCGTATTGTAGTCCGATTCATCCCTAGCACGCATCCCGAACACAGCTCCAGCCGGGTTGATTGACGTTGAGTTGAAAATAGTGCTTTCGGTCTGACAGATCGTCCCCTCCTTGGGCAAGGTGCCATTCGCAAAATAGTCACGTACAGCTTGGAAAGTGCAGTTTGATACAGCGATAAGGGATGTGTGCTAATGAGTCGTGAAGTCAATTAAAAAACAGTGTCGTGGATCTGCAATACATATACTTACGCCTGATGAATTCTGTGTCAACACGACAGAGTTTTCAAAACCCTTCGACATCTTCATCGCACTAGGAGTAATCGTTTGGTAAGTTAGTATATGGGGTCTTCTAAGATACTCACCTTGTCAAGGGCGTCACTGGGTCTGTTGACGGTTTGGCAATGAGTCCTAGTATTGACGATTCCGAGAAGATGTACGTACCACGGGTATTTCCTATGAGTAGCAACGGATAGCTCGTATTTTTCACAAAAGAACCTATTCGCGGTGAGCGCATTTTATGACACAGAAACTAATTACACACACCATTGAACCGATCCTCTGATCGAAGCGTCCAACCTCTGAGAGCATATCAGCTGATATTCGATGTAATCTGGCTAAAATGAGCACAAATGAGCACAACTCACGAGCACAGAGAAATGGAGAGCCACGCTCCCGCAAACTCAGGAGAAAACTTTGAGGCGGTATCGTATGCATTCCGGGCATAGTCGATGGTTTGTACATCATCCGTGACGATGTCTCCACACAGAATAGTTGACTGGGTCTCGAATGCACCAACGACGAAGGGTTGTCCTGTTGGTGCTGGGCATTCATTCTCAAGAAATTCAGAGAACACGCTCCCAACCGAATTCTGGACAATTAAACTCGCATTGCCTTGCTCAAGTAACGCAAGTGCCTCTGTGAGCGGAGCACCATCAACATACGGTGAGTAAAGTGCCCTCATTATTTGGAATCGAACGGCAGCATAGTCGACTATAAGAGAGTTGATCGCCGTGGTGTTGAAGAGTAGGATAGGTTCGGTGCGTAACTTGTTCAGGATGTTTTCGATCCGCGAATGGACTTGAGCGGTAGTGTTCTCGAATATGGGGCAGAGAGATGGTCCAGCTTGGACACAAGCATCAAGGATATTGGTGTATGTTTTGTCCATGTCGAGGATGAATCCAGTCCAATTACCTTTCGATTGGAAGTCATTAAAAACACTAGCTTATTGGTGTCAAACAACTAACCCATGTAGTATGACTCAGCATCCACAACACCGTCGATGATAACGCGGCCAACCTTGTCCTGCAAGGATGGAAATACGTTCAGCATTAGATCTAATATAAAACTCCAAATTACGCACGGGAAACATTGAAGCGAAGCTGTGGCAAAAAAACACTTAGGAGTCTTCAGAGACATACAGGAAACATGACCACTCACGTTGCCCCGAGAACCGTCCCATAACTGAACTAGGTATTAGTAAAAAAATATCGCTGGGACTAATCTGATAAACTGACGATATACCCCAGTATTGCAGCTTGTCTTGCCCGGCTGCATTGATAATGCTAAGCATATCTTGCGCAACGGTAGGCGTAGACACCATCTTTGCCACATCTTTTGCACGCTCTTCGACAAGTTTCCCTAAGAGTGTTGTCTGCGCGAAAGATATCCCTAGAGAAGAAGCGGTCGCATTGATGTCCACCACGCGCTGCGTGAAGAAGGCCCCTGCCTCAACCGAGTCTGCGAAGACGGATAAAGACGGAGTGGTAAATCCGACACCTGGGCGAGTGACAAATTTGATCAGCACCACAATATTTTTCTCTTTCTGGAGGTCCATTACCCCGTGGATCAAATCCGATCAGATCAAACTCTGGACCGATGATTGTACGAAACGCGGGTCCCGATTCGAGGATGTATTGCACGCCCGAACCCCCAGGACCACCTTTATTATTCAAGAGTCAGCTGGAAGTCCTTATTTAACAGAATTGACAATCAAGCCTGGATTGAAGAGAATTGGTCCTTTGTAATTCTCATCAGTAGTCGACAAGTTAGACGGTAGCTTGATTAATGCGACGGCAGCTTGCGCTCCTGACGGATCAGAATAAAGTATAGGCACCTTGGGCAAGACGCGCTGGTCAGAAACTGAGAAATTATGCGTCTTGCAGATCAATACGTACAGCAAGCCGGGCACATTGGAAAGTATCGTAACAACTTGTCCAGTTCAAAGTTGTTGAGGGAGTAAGCTGCGAAAGATAGTTAGACGGGCTTGTAATGAACAAATGGACGAGCTTACATTCGTCCAGTTAAAGGTTGCTGCATCGCGCGTGTGCAACTGATAGCCAGATCTGCCATATGCTGCGGAAGTGAGGGAACACAAGAAGACTAAGGAGTGTATGAGCATTGACAATATGCGGGACGAAGACAGGAGCCTAAGGCTGGACTTGGTGTGGTATCAAAGGTGGACGAAACACTCCTTGCCTTTTTTTTAAAGAATACGGCCGCGTCTTTAAACACTCCGGAATGCAGTATGCTAGGAGCGTCGTGAAGCGGCACAGTCCTCGGCAGATAATGAAGCGGTGTGATTCATATCCAAGCATCGAAACAGGGTCCAATGTTATTATTATTCTGATGATCAGGTTAGAAGCAACAACGTAAGTCACATGTACCAATGTCGCACTGCGCAATATCCACCGCCCACACATACCTTGATTAATGCAAAGAGTATCATCAGAGAACGCTGCTAAGTATATGCATCAAGAGTTCCTATATCGAGTATGTTGCAGCGCTGGAGTGAAGGTCCCAAGTTGGGAGACATGTCATATCTGAGAAGAGAAGCGTTCACAGCGCGCCCGTCGTTTATCGTATTTTCTGGAATAACTGTCCTGTACGGAGAGAGCCTCCGACTTGCGGTCTATTCTCACGCATGTCTTCTGTGAACACAATTTTTTGTTGGTGACAAAACATTGAACCTACGAGTAAATAAGCGTCTCATCCCACAACCCGTGCTCCCTCCTACAATCAGCAGTCTATTGTCTCGCCTGGTTACCCAACTTGAATCATCTAGTTTACTTATCCTGCTTCCATTGTTCCGGCCTCTGTCTAATTAACTCTGCTGTTTTACTTGAGACTGGCTTGCCTTCTTATAATATTTAATAAAGTGATCATTGACGCCCTCTCATAAATTTCTATACAACTTGACTTTTGTATTCCTGTATTCATCAATAACAACAAAACATTTTTATTTTTATTAATCTCCTCTTTCTTTTCTTTCCTGAGTACACGTCCTGTCGCTGTCAGTATGTCCTTGTCAGAGGAAGAAGTGCAGTTTTAACTTTTCTCCTGTGAACGACACTTGTGTAAGAAGTTTCGAGGTAAGGAGGAGGAACCTGTTGCTACTGTGTACTGCAAGGCATTGATCGACTCCTTTGTATATTTTGAAATGCTCTTCCTTGGTAGATGGCCTTTTCTGCGTGCCAGATAAAGTGGGTAGCTGGACTGCAAAGTGTGGGTCAGAGTCAGATTTCAGATTTACCACAGCGTGCATCGAGTATTACCTCACATTGTTCCCACACCCTTTTCATTCACTTCCCATTCAAGCTTCGGCACCTTTGTCAACAACTGAAGGTCAAAAAAAAGCTAAACCGCTTACTTCAACCTCGTGCAATGAGGGGCTTACAGGATTGAAAGAGTCTGCTTACTTATGCCCGATGGCGAAACAACCACACCACATGGATGCGGCACTGGTAATTTGCAACGATGCTGGGCATCTGACGCCCAACTTGCCGAGTCAGAGCAGGCTGAAACAGCGAAATGATTGCGATCGCTCGCTCTTGACTAATCGAGGACTTGTCCGAGATGCTTAAAAGTCAGCCAGTTTTGCACAGGTCCCTCAGGCTGCAAACCCATCATGGCACGCTTTGATCCAGTCAAGGACTTACCTGACCTCACGGGCAAAGTCGCGATTGTCACAGGTGCAACGTAAGTTCGGATTCATTCAGCCAACCTTGCAGGAGACCAGTTATGACTAAGATTCGGCTCTTAAATTCTAGCGCGGGTATTGGATATGCTGTTACGCAAGGATTACTGCGCAAAGGCGCGACCGTCTATCTCGCTGCAAGAAATGAGAGTAAAGCTATAGGGACTATTGCGCGTTTAGAGGCCGAGGGCCTCGGTCCTGGAAACGGGAAGCCAATATTTCTTAAGGCCGTATTTGACGATCCCAGGAATGCAAAGAAATCTGCGGAAGAGTTTCTGGATCGAGAGTCCAGACTTGATATACTAGGTACACCCTTTTTTTTGTATTTAATACAGGTCCGAATGATTAATGCTCGTTTTCATTTCTTTAAGTAAATAATATAGCACGGTAAGCGGTTAAACTCTCTATAAGTGACGGATAACTCAATGTTTTCTAGGTTGGTAGTACCGTATGAGCGCGATCCACTGGGATTGCCACTGTCAGTCTCAGTCAAGTTAGTATCATGGTTTTCTTATACTCATGAGCTCGGAGCTGACAATCCGACCGAAGTCACTTTTCACCGTTCGTGTTCACAAATACCCTCCTGCCTCTGATGAAGCGGACTGCATTACTCCCTAATACGGACGTGCGGATTGTCAACATGTCTTCAGACTCCCATGCCCGGGTATCAAACGTCCAGCTCAAGACCAAGGACGACTTCTACTTTCCAAAAGTAGTCGACGGATCAACTTCTAGTCAACACATGCATTATGGCTTCACGAAATTATTGAATATACTGTTTACTCGTGAGCTTGCACGTCGACTTGCAGCTTCCTCCCAAGACGGGGGATCCAATATCCTGTGCTTCAGCGTTCACCCTGGTTGGATCACGACGGAAGGGAATTTGGCCCTCGGTAATCGCTATCCTTGGCCACTCTCAACGCTTGTGTGGCTTATAGTTCGTTACCTGTTCCTTGCACCGGAAAAGGGCGCGAATTCCGTGCTCATCCCGGCAGCGGCACCAAGCATACGGAAAGAAGCAAGCAAGTACCATGGACAGTATCTTGTACCTTATGGCAAAATCGGCCCAGCGTCGAAAGATGCTCTAAATGATTCTCTTGCAAAGGACGCGTGGGATCTGACGGAACGAGTTTTATCCGAGTATGGCCTGTAATATGGAATATCGATGTTTATGTGACGTACCGATATAGCATGTAGAAAGTATGCCTTTGAGACTTCCAGGCTTCAGCGTTTGGCGTGAATCGACAACAGTTCAACTTCGAAGAGTGAGTGAGTGAAGGTGCGTGGGAACAATGTGAGATGAACAAATCCTGGGCGCGATTCAGCAGTACTTTGCAATTCAGCTACCCATTATTTCGGCATGCACTAAAAGCAATTTAAGCTACAGCAAAGTAGGGGATTTCAAAAATGCAAAGCGTTCGACCGATGCCCTGCGGTACAGTAGCTGCAGTTCTCCTCTTTGTTCTCTCAAAGCTCCTTACACAAGTATCGTCCACAGGTATTGAGCAGCTCAGAAATGTCCGAAAAGTCAAAAGGTAACAAGCATACTAGTAGGGGAACATCTAATACAACAGTACAGAATGCCCAGGCATCACCAACGAGTACTGGGTCTCCTGCATCTCGTAAGAAGCATAGTTCTCATTCTACTGCCAAAGAACTCTCCAGAGACGAGTCACCAGGGGGTCAACATAAAAGAGGTGTCGACTTCGTAGAGAGCATTTCAATCATCCCTGAACAAGTAAGTTACTGGTTCAGGAAATGATAACACCTCTGTTCTGAACTCAATATTCAGCACTCTGGTCCGAAGGTCCAACAAGCCGTACCATCAATGGAAGTATATAGGCAAGAAAAAATAGAAAATTGCCTAAGAGGTGACTTATATGACTGTGAGCTGAGGCAAACCCATGTATTTGTAGTTGACAAGTGAAACTTATATACCACATACACAGATTTAACTCTCTTTTTCGGCAGTAGCAACCTTGCTTATACTAGGAAAGACAGCTATTTAAAAATGCATATAACAAGTGAGTGAAGTGCACCCTGTTCATGAACCTCTCATTAGAAAACAGCATTGACATATTTTGTTGGAGTTTAGGTTGGATTAAACGATGTATATTTGATGATGCTTGTTCCATGCCTGAGTATGATGTGCATGTAGAATCGTTTTCATATCCTAGGCTCGGAGAACTAAAGTTCCACTTATTTATACTCGTCACAGTGATCAATCACTATGATAAAATTCATAGCAAGAAGGGGATCGAGGATAGACAGAAAAATTATATTAAACTTCTGCGGGAGAAGCGAGAGGAAATAAGGCGTGAACTTAAAGAAATGCGCGAGTACAATATTGAAGATGAGACCAATATTGTTCGGGAAACCGATATCAAGGAAGACATAAGTCTTTCAAAACGGCAGAAACCTAAAGAGAGACCACCGCAATTCAGCAGAACAGGCCTTCGACATTTCGAAAATAAAAAGATACAAGAAACCTTAAACAGTGGGAGGTTAAATGACCGTAAGCCACATTTCTTTGCTTTGGAAAAGTGAGACCGAGTTGAGCTAAACTGTACTGTCAGATTTGGACCTTTTCTTTGGAATTGACTGGTCCAAGCGCATTATCGAGTCCTACGATAAGAAATACGATGATTACCATATCAATATTGTTTCCGAGGTTGTTTTTCGGCCAGGGGCCGGTAAGATCTCTACCTATTTATCATTCCTAGTAATCCATCAATTTATCCTCTTGTTTTGTTGCGCCTAGACGCTTGGGGACCGTGCATATTTGACAAGACGTGCACTTCTATGTCTGGCGAGAATATGCCGACAGGAACAAGAGTTGTGCCTGTTCAAAAGCAAGGAGAGGAAATTGATGGATATAAAAGACGTATTGCTAATACCAATGAATATGAGAGTGCAAAGCCCGCGTTGCATAAGAATTTATTAAAGGTTGTCATTGATCACTTTAACAAACACCATAAGGAGAAGGCAGATAAGTCCCAAACCAAAATGGCAGAGATAATTAGACAGAGATTTGAAAGGTTGGAGCAGGAGACAAGTGACTAGATGATTCAAGTTGAATAGCAGGGGGAAGCAACAGGTTGTAGATTGTAGGAGGTAGTACAGGCTGGAGGCCAATAAACTTGTAGTAACTTGTTTGTTTCAATAGGGTCAGACCTGGCGATTCGAGACGCGATTCACAACGCGATTCTGGAGGGTGGTATGGTATGGTATGGTATGGTATATTCCTGGTATAGGTCCCTAAAAAGAAAATCGCGTCCTGAATCGCGTGTGAAGGTCTGACCGCCGAATTTTCAAACAAGAGATTCTCCTTTAGATTTACTAGTAAATACTTATAATAATCCTAACTTCATAATAAATTCAATGCATAAAGAAAGTACATAATTTATATGCAGTTATTGAAGCATATTCAATATTATACAAATTGGTGATTGTTAACAAAGAGAATCCCTCTATTTGATAGAATACTATATTAAAAACATTATAAAAATAAAGTTTATATATTAATTTCTTTTTTTGAAGATTCTATAATAAAATTTTATTTTACACATGTTTAGCATAAGAAATACATATATATTATGATAGAAATATACTTGAGAGAGGGTGAATTGTAGGGGTGAATTGCAAGTGAAGCGTGTTTTGATGCAATTCACCTTTCAACACGATTCAACCCGAATTGCTAGAGTTCTGGGGTCCACAATTCACTTTCATGTGAAGTGGATTGCACAGGTGAATTGCACATAGAATCACAAGGTCCGACCCTGCCTAATGTTTCATCAATGGTACAGTAACTCACTACAGTAGAAATTGTCTTATTGCATAGTATCACAATGCATATATTGTATAATGTATAAACTTTTGGTCAGACCAAAACTCAAGTTCTCAGCTAAAATGTATTCTCATAATAGGTGACTTCAATTAATTGGCAGGAGCACTTGCAGGACAGTTGGAAAATTTTGGGGTGGCTTGGCAAAGTGGACATACCTTAATATATACCAAATAGAGATGTAAATCCGTGCAACTCTCTGCAAGTTTCTGCAAGTGCTCGAACCCACTTGTTGGCACTTGCAGACGCGTCGGAGTTTGAAATAAAGAAATGTCTGACTACAACCCAACAAAAATCATGAGTAACGTGACATGGGCATTAAATGTCGATCTCTGCAAGTCCAGCTCTTCAATTTTGAGAGACTTGCATAACTCTTGGCATCTTAACTCTAAATTGCCGAAGCCCTTCTGCAAGTGTCTCTGCCAATTAATTGAAGTCGCCTAATGCATAAATTGTATAACGCAACAAGACAATTTCAACTGTATATTTATCTACGACATGCGTGGGAATAGACTGCAAGACAGAAGCCGAGTCTATCCGTATACGTACACAGTAGTATATACTGTAAGCATGTGAGAGGTGTGATAAACGGCAGACCTAGTGTTATATTAACATCTTGGGAAAGTGTGAAAACCACCTCTCCAAAGAGGTATGCCTGGAAAAACTGTGATACAGTGGATCTCCCCCACCCTTCAAAAACTATTTGCTTTTCTCATCATAATGCCATACCAGTCTCCACACTCTCGCTGTTTCGTATACTAGAATTAGAGCTTTTGGGTGGTTCGAAGTCACCAAGATCTCGCGGTTGGAAATCAAGATCCTGCACCTGGACATCACCGTTCGTCGCGGCTAGTTTCGCCGCCAATCCTTGGTCCGGAGCAGTCGTTGGCGCCGAAACAGGGGGAGGAGACGTCGTAGTAGACGCAGTGGCCTTTCCAAAGGACCAAGAAGAGAACAAACTCGTCAACGGAGTCGACGCAGGAGTCGATTCACCAGCCTCTGCAGTTCCATTAGTCCAATTAGTCCCATTACCAACTCTTTCTTGCGCGGTAATAGGATCTTGAATTTCAGCAGGTGACGAAACTAGGGAACCATCCGTCGAAAATACACTTGTACTGCTTGTGCTTTGGCTTCCAGCGCTTGTGACGCTGTTTGTACGTGGCACGGAGAGACGAGCTGTTCGTTGTGAGATGAAAGAACCAATGCTTGAGCCCCATGATCCGATTGCTGTCTTTGCGTCTGATGCAATAGACTGTGCTGGTCCGGTTGATAGGGAGAGCGGTCGTAAACCCGTCTGCGAGGGAGTCGTTGGCAGCGTTGAAGAACGGGTGGTCATGCCATTTGTCGTCTCTCCACCATCTCCGCCATTTGCTTTAGCAAGGTCGACCTCCGAACGTGAAACCTCCACCGGCGTACTGGAGATCGTCGAAGTCTCCCCTTCAGAAGCAGACAGCGAACTCGAAGATCTCTGTGCCCAACGTCCACGAACACCTTCAACAGCCTTGAGGAAATTCGTTGAACTCGTCGCAAATGTCCGACTGATCGCCTCTCGCGTCGGTGCCAGTTGTTCCTGCAGATGCAAATCTTGCAAACCCTCTTGTAGACGGAGTCCGATGTCCTCGACGACACTGGGCTTCCCTGAACACGGGTGTCGAGCCTCGACGATATCGAAAATCATTGGATCTGTAACACGGTTCCATACTTCGAACGCATTAGTCCGTCGGAACTCGGCGATCCATTGGGGATTGAAGTCTTGGATTGCGTTGGCGTCACCACCGTCTTCATAATGCTTAGTTCAGCCATTTGAATTTTAAGCCGAAGAGAGAAATCTCACCTCCGCCAGTTACGACCACATCTGAGCGAGAGCTCTTCGTAAGGAAGTCTGCATACTTCACTGACGAAAGCGCAGCAGTGACATATTCCTCGAACTGCGACACAACGTATTGTTGATATGACATAGCTTGCCAGTAACCTCAGACATACCTTTGTTCTTATGTAGTCGTCGCTACCCTTGAACCTAGCACGACATGAGTCTCCTATCATGCCTAACGGAGATAAGAGCTTACTGCACGCTAGTAGATTTGCTAGGGTTAGTTTCGTCCCAACCTTCATTAACATCCTTCACAATGTCGTCCATCCACTTTCGGTCTGCAGATGTCAATGCAACCAGACGCTCAAGTTGAGGATCCCGGAATTCGAAGGTGTTGGTTTCAATCTTTCCCCAATATCAGTAAATGTCTTAGCTCGTTTTGGAATCCGCATATTCTTACGTTTATGAGAAGATCGATCTCCTTTTGCTGTGTAACAATTGAGTTCGTACTTCCGCAAACATAGCTTCGGGTATCCTTTATCAAATCGACCTGCTGCAGTGGGAGGTATGGTTGGAAGAAAGCATCCTAGATGCCGATTCAGTACAATTGAGAAATACTTTTACGTCGATTAGGGAGCTTACCTTCCCAAAAACGTCTAAAGGTAGGCCGAGATAGGCCATTAAGCTCTTCCTGTCACTTGTTCGGAGCGAAGTAGCCGGTAAAAGCGTAAGTGCCCGAGAAGCAAGTGGAGGAGAACCACAATCATCGAGATTCTGTAATAAGCCTTATGAGGGAATAGTCAATTTTAGCTACCGCAGACAAGATGGCGTGGTCATGTACCGGGTATCAATGAAATAAGGGAATATTGGTATGTGCAGAGTCTCTCCACGGGGTGTCCGTAGAACATTATCTGTGCGAATATGAATCAATTTAGTGGCATGCGGAAGTGTCAGCTCGGAACGTACTCGTTTTTGTAACATAAGTGACTTGAGTAACAATAAAGTCCGACTTCGGAATTTATGCACCAGTTCTCGTCTAGAATATGTGTGAACACAAAGCAAGTACTATTTAGCCCAATACGCACAAGCTAGTGCCTTTATAATAGATAAGAGACTGCATGAACAACATAACAGAAGTAATGCGTACCCATATACATTGCGCTCTCTGTGAGCTGATTTCGTAAAGACATCTCAAGTGAAGACTTAAAATCAACCAGAATCCCAGTCTCACGGAAATCACGTTGACTGAATAAAGCCTGAGTAACTACACCAAGCCGATCACGAATAGGCCCGAAGACCGGCTTCGAGGCAAGGACGACAACAGCTTTCTGAACAGTCGATCGTGTTACGTCGTCATCCTTTGCTAGTAAATCGGAGGTCTTGATTTGTCGGTTGCAGGATATGCCGAAGATTGTACTGGGGTGTGGAGAGGCTGGAACGAGGTGGAAGTATGAGTAGTCCTCGCTACTCTATAACATGTGTTAAATTTGCATAGAGGAATTGGTATGCATGCCGAAAACTAACCAGGTGGGCTCCGTCAGGTAGGGCCAGGAAAGGTAAGATAGCAGCTATTTGTTCGTCATCGAACACCGAACCGTCACAAAACTCAATCTTCGGTCCAACCTAACAATCCACCATCACACGTGAGATAACACATAGGACATAATAGTATAAGGAAAGTCACGAACCAGATGGTTAAAGTCAACAAGTGCAATACCAGGTACTATAGGGCCGATGGGTGGTTCCACAAGCATTGACTCTGGACGTGCCTTCCGCGACGACGAAGAAGCGTAAGATACCATCGACGCTGCGTCGCTTTCTGAGTATTTCACCTGAGGAGGCGGATACTTGATAGACGAAGTCGTAACCGACGTCTGGGAACTTCTGCGTGTTTCGTCGGCACTGAGACTCGAACTCGATGGTGAGAGAATAGCGGCCTCTCTAGTTTCGGTAGACTCTGTCTCCACCGTGTCGTGTACCTTGTCTTTATCATCCATACGGCTGACCGAGAAAGGCGTGTCCGAAGCCTTTGGCGTTGTGAAATGTTCAAAAGTGTGAAGTGGTTGCTCGTTCTGTGAAAGCACAGAATCTCTGGGTGAAGAAAGCGAAATTGAGCGTTGCGACGCCTTGTCCGAGGATTCATCGTTCTCAGCGTCATCATGAAGAAAGTTGCGACGTGTCGGCGAAGGAGAAGGGGAGAACTGTAAGGCTGACATGACGAAGGTATTGAACGGTTGAATGAATGGAAAGGAGTTGAGAGTTACGGAGAAAGCTGGCACACTGGCCGGACGCGTTTGAGGACGATCACACACGCACGAGCCGAACCTCGGGCCTTGAGACTCATGCGTAAGTACTGTGGGAGATCTCATTGCTGCAAATGCCAATAGAACTGTATTCTACCACACACACGAAACTAGCAACTGGCTACCGCGAAACTATATCCGATCGACATGAGGCGTGGATGTAGTAAATAGTCCGAGCCACCCTAATTTAGTACCGGAAGACATGAAGAACCTGGCTTACTGTGGCCGCGATGACTAGACCTTGGGTAGCGTCCAGAAGTAAATGATATGTTTCATCGAGGATCTCAGAAGGTATATCAAGAATGCTAGCACGGTCAGCCAGGTCACCCTCATAGTCCGTTCCAGGATCAGGGAAAGTCACAAGCTTAAGCACTCGCTTCTTCTCTTCGCCTTCGGTATTCACTTTCTCTACCCATCCGAAATGGTTGAACGACATGCAGATTATCGGTAATCCATGCTCATCATCAGGATCAAACGGACTCAAAACCGGGTTACGAAGAGTTATAAGAGACCTTGAAGGTGCACAAGGACCATTTTTGTCGGAGTAATACTGAGTAACTCGCCATGTCTTCTCTCCGATAGTTGAATCCAACCCAGCCTCTGGAATTGTAATATACAGCACAATCGTCGAGACTCGGGTAGGTATCTCTGGATAAGGAGGCTGCGGAAGTTGGTCAATTGCCCAGAACAGATAAGGATTCGTCCCTTCTGTTTTTGATAGAACAGCAGGTTCATTCTTCCATCTGAAATCCTGTTCCTTAGATGGCTCTGCAACTTTTTGCGGTTCATATTCCAGGGCATTCCAGACTGAAGGAGAAGGCTCATAATCTGCCAGCCGGTACCATCTTCGCACTTCCGTGCCTTCATACTCAGACACCACAATTAAGTAGTTACCGTCTTCCGAAAGGCGGATACCGATCAAGGATCTACCATAGTCCTGCAGCAAACATCAGAGAACGCTCGGTCTCCGTCAAGTCACCAAGTACGTACGTATAGCAATCCCGTGTTGATTATAGCAGCGTCTTCCGAATCCCAATCAAAGACTACCAATATGGCCATTTGCTTTGACATGGTGCAAGAGAATGCGGCACATAGCATCCTTCGGGAAGCATCGAGCAAGTGCACCTCACTAGTAAAGGGAAGTAATAATGTTAACTGCTTACAACGTTCAAAGAGCAGAGGTTCAGTAGAGTCGGTCCCTGGAACACCGATGCGAAGAACGGATAGTCGGACGTGCATGCCAAAACTATCTTGGTGCCTGAGCAAATTAATATCCTTCTCGAGAGAAGTGGTCACATTAACTCACCGAACGGGGGCGACTTTGCCGATCAAACCATACAGCGTCCGAGAAGATTTATCTAGCGCAAGGTCAACCATAATACTATCAGGATCCATCTGAATTGAGCCAGCAGGCATGTTCTCTTTCAAGTTCCATCCAACAATGCTACCATCCTGCATGGGCAACAGCAAATGTCTTGAAGTAAATTTCGTGATGTAAGAACTCTGCTCTAAGGATATATCGGTCCTGATAGCATCCTTGAAATCAATGGTTCGCCGAGGAGATCTTGCTTTCGGTGTCTTACTGAGCCAGTTTTTCTCCGCGGAAGCAGCTACGGTGACGGAGTCCCTGAGCTCACGTACGCTCACATCTTCTAACGGCTTTTGATCAATAGCCAGTAGATCTATATACCGAGCCCGATGCAGGAGATTCAAGAAGAGGTTCTGCCAGACACTGAAGCATTTTGAGAGAGTGTAGAACTTGCGGGAAACCTACCCAAGTTTATCTACACATCAACATACTAATGCAGTAGTGGTAGCAGGGGAGCATACCTGAGAAAGGGAGAGGACGTCGCTAACTTCCAGAAAGGAAAATATTTCCAAGAGAACGTCGTCAGGAAGAGCGACCAGGCCTAGGGAACGTTGGTAGGGGGCTCCCAACATGGGCAGACCAGACTGGCAGCCGATGCTTGACCTTTGTGCCAGGGTTATTTATAAGGCGGCACGTCTGAGGGAAAGGGAAAAGGGGATTGTAGCACAGAGCAGCAGAGGGCACTAAGTATCAGCTCGACAAGCATGCTGTATGTATGCACAGTGCAAACGAGAGAGCGTGTGTCTATTATTGCTCGTTGCCTCGTTGTCGAGTGGCGCAAACAAGTTCCAGTCGCAGACAATACAATGCGCTGACTAAGCAGCATCACTTCTGGACTGAGAACATTGCTTTTCGGTGCAGCTTCTCTTCCGACGACGTCCATTACAGGCCACACGGGCTAGACAGGCAGTCTGAGCTCTGTAAACACACGCCTTGAGGCATCATCACGAACCGCACGAAGGTGAAGGTGCTCGGTCAGCTGCGGGCTATTCACCCAATCCCGAGGTCAGCACAAAGTAGCCGACACCAAATCAAATAGACCCTCTTGCTAATGGTGCAGGGGGTAATCCTGGCTTATTCGTTTCATTCCAATCTTTCTGAGTAAGCCGATTTCTCGTTCAACCATGACAGTTTGACGCTTGACTCGGTCCATTTCTTATATAAGTCGTGCGCACAGCTCATGGCGTCCGTAACACCGCGCATGTCAATGCTCTTGGCGGAGGATTACTTTGAGGACGCGATGGGAAATGAGGACGATGTCGAGGGTCAGGGGGCGGATGGCAGAACGCCTCTGGATAAAACTATTGATAGAATAGGAATGGGTGAGCCTATTCCGTTATTACCTACTTGATATGATGTCTGAGTCTGGGGCGTAGGATCTTATCAGTGGACGTTGCTTGCTTTGTGTGGCTTTGGTGAGTTTTCGCCTATTCAATGATTTTGTCCCGACTCTAAATTGTTTCTTCACTTTAGGTTGGCTAGCAGATAATGTTGGTGAGCGCACAAATGCGTTGGAACAGAACATAATATGGTTCGACAGATGTGGATTCAAACCGTCGCGATCATTCTACCTAGAGTACAACAGCACTTTGGCGGTATGCATCGAATTGACTTATCCTATTACACAGTATCTTATTCGTGATTTTCTTAGTCTCCGACGGCCAGATTGGATACCTTTCCTCCTCAATGTTTGCAGGGATGATGATTGGTGCAGTGGGATGGGGCTCATGTAAGGCATAGTTACCCGCTCCATCAATTCACAACACAGCTAATGCATCCATCGTGAAGGTTCTGACCTGCTCGGTCGTAGTACCGCATTCAATCTAACGCTATGCTTCACTGCAATTTTTGGACTCGCTGCTAGCTACGCCCCCACTTTCTCAATGTTATGCATAGCTTTGTTTTTCCTCGGAACTTCTGTCGGAGTACGTGTCGCTTTCTATCTCTCTTATACAGATAACGCCTTACGCATGCAATAGGGATCCATGCCGACGGATGGAACTCTCTTATTAGAGCATATGCCGAAAGGCAAACAGTACATGGTTACCGCTCTCTCCGTATTCTTCTCCTTTGGCTCGGTGATATCCGCTATAGTTGGTATCATCGTTATTCCAGGGCACTCCTGTCCACCAAAATCCCAATCGTGCGATGTCGCGACGATGAACAAAGGCTGGGAATATTTATTAATGACCATTGGGTTTATTGTGCGTTGTTTCATCTTGTTTCACTATCAGCCAGGAACTCAACCTCTCCTTAGACACTGTCTTTCTTCCTGGCCCGAATAGTCTTCTTTAAGCTGCACGAGTCGCCACGATACCTTGTTCACGCCGGTAGACACGAAGAAGCCTTAGTAAACCTACAAAAGATCTCACGCTTCAACGGTTCTGAACTCTCTTTGGTCCTGGACGACGTGCGGGATCACCATCTTGACGAGCCCGTAGAGGGAGAAGACGCACCTTTCCTTGCTAGGAGGCAGGAACGCGCAAGAGCAAACGTCGGGACTATATTTGATACTGACGCCCTTGGCGACCGACAGTCAGATAGCGAGCGAGAGCCTCTTGCTGCGGATATTGCGACGGGTGGGGTTAAACCATTATCATCCCCACCAGACAGAGTTCACTACGACTCAACAGGATCATCGGACGTACCTTTGGATGCGCATGCATTCGTAACACCCGCTACAGAGGAACCTCCTCGAATATCTAGCGAGACGATTACACCCCATGTCCCTGCTTCTTCTGGTTCTCCTCAAGTTAAAGAGGAGGAAGAACTTCTACCTGAGCCATCGTCTCGTGCGCGGCCTTCTATCGTTAGATCCTCTAGATTTTCCCGGCGGTCTAGTCTGTATGAAGCAAAAGCAAAAGTGTACTGGGCGCTTCCACGTCGTATCCGAAAACCACTCTGGGCTTGGTCAGACAAGATCAGTGTTGTGTTAGGCTCGGAATGGAGGACAACGACGTTGCTAGTATGGGCAATGTGGTGCTCTATGTCACTCGGTACGTTATTCCTCTCGTAGTTCCTTACTCCTCGTGTTTCTGAATTATTACTATTTTTGATTGATTGTAGCATATACAATGTTCAATGTATTCCTACCGAAAATGCTGGAGATGAACACTGGTGGAAGAGAAGACGAAAAAACACTTGAAGAAACGATGTGGGATGTAGTGATTTTCACGATTGGAGGATGTCCTGGAGCTCTCGTTCGTCTCTTCCTTCTTCTACGAGTTCAAAATCAGTGCTAATTCAACAACGACGATGAATGACAGATTGGTGCATATATGATTGAATCGTCGTTTGGGAGGAGATGGTCGCTTGCGATGAGCACGTTCGTTACTGCGGCGTTTTGTGTTGCGTTTGTCTTTGCGGAGAGTTCGTTCTTTGTGCGGTTGAGTACTATTGGGATTAGTCTTAGTTCAACGGTGCGTTCATATTTTCTATGCCACTCAGCTCATATGCAAGCTTTACTGAATTGGGATTTTTTACTTTTAGACTATGTGGGCTGTATTATACGGGTAAAGAGATCTATTTTATACTTGGTTCACATCTAACTGATAGACTCGTTTGTGTCGCCTAGATGGACACCCGAGATCTTCGACACTGCCGGTTCGTCACTTTCCAAATGAAACCCTCTTCAGAGTAACTCATTTACCATCTCTGCATATCTAGTCCGAGGAACAGCAACAGGGACCGCTTCCGCCTTATCTCGAGTGTACGTCTTCCCTTCGCCTTCCCCTTTTTCTACGAACATTCTGAGCTTATTTCATTATTTTTATTCGTTCAGCGGCGGAATGATCGCACCCGTCCTCGGCGGTGCCCTCCTCGCCATCTCCCGCTCTCTCCCACTCTACACAAGTGTCATCGTCTTCGTTATTGCTGGAATTTGCACACTCATGCTGAGAGTTGAGGAGAGTGGTGGGCCAGTGACGGGTGTCGCACACTAGTTAGATGCATTAGATCATATCGCACTCACACGCAAAACAAAAAAGTTGCGTTGAGTATTGGGGTTGGAAGATGGTGCTGGTGCTTGAGGAGAGATGTTTTGCATCATTGTTGCTGTTTCGTGGACGACTTTTTGAATGACTTTTTTCTTCATGCTTTCCGTTGTGATTGTCGTGTTCCTGTAGACTACTGTAAATGTAATTAGACGTGCATAAAAAAATTGCTGCTCTTTTGAATCGAATAGGATACCAATTTCAAAATTGACATTGATTCTACAATTAAGGAATACCGGAGTTGTTAATCCTTGTGTTTAGATGTATGTATCTCTGATGCACATGGTGTGATGAACCTGGAACCCTTGGTTTATCCACCTCGAGTGCTACCCAGGGTCAAGGTGTCTTTCATTCTTCTAAATCTTTAACCGTGGAGCTTTGGAGTGAAGTACTATTATAGCCGTCATATGTTCTTACAAAGTTTCAATTCAGGTACTTCCTCCCGGCCCGAACGAACGAACGAACAAAGTAAAGAATAACCAGACCGACCAAAAGTTGAATTTATTTTACACTCATTCCTACCTACATCGAAAACATTATACAGCAAGAAAGCAAAAAAAACACAGAGGTTGGGTTGCGTTTAACCTTTTACACGATTATTGGGGATGGGGAAGGTCCATTTGGAATGTGAAAAGTGAAAAGTGAAAGGTGAAAAAGAATAATACACAATGAAGATTAGAAGATTGGATGATTAGGTGTCCCATGTGAAGTGAAGAGGAAAGAGTCCAAGGTCCGTTAAGAAAGAAAGAAAATTGTCCCATGTCATTGATTCATTCATTGAAAGTCCAGATCATTGATCATTGATCATTGCGCGGCGTCATTTCATTGGGTTGGGAGAAGAAAAAGAGGAAGAGGGTCCGTTCATTGATAGGAAGGGTAGATCGTCGCGTTTCGAAAACATCCAAACAGTACGTGGGTGAGAGTGCGTGAGTCTGGTCTGGACTCCCTTCAAATTCAGGCAGCCACGATGGAGAACTCGGGACTGAAGTTGCCGGAGTCGCCCATGACTATTAATAAAATAGACCAAGTCAGTTTTTCCGATTGATCTCCTCCACGTCACAATGAATGGATGGGGGGGGGGGGGTAGGCTTTGAAATTTGGATACTTACGGACTATCTGGTAATCGTTAGCGGGAGTGACGTTTGGTACCTGGACTTCTACGCGTCCGTCTGTGAGTTGGAAGCCTGAAGCAAGCGGGTTCGACCCTGTACATGCACGACAAGGAAAATTAACAGATCAGCAAGGATGTCCTATGTATTTTTATTAGAAAGCAAATACGTACCGTCCGTGAGACCACCTCTGCGGAGGAACACCTGGCCTATAGGGTTGGTGACATTAACAGGCTTTTGAGAAAGGTCCCAAGTGACGTTGTGGTGGTTTCCGATTTTCCAGACAGTACCAGCGTGAGGGTAGAGAACCTTTGGTACCCAGACGTCTCGACGGTCAAGGTCGATGGGCGCGGCACTCGAGAACGTGAAGAGGGTGACGAAGAGGGAGAAGAGGAAGAAGAGGCGCGACATGTTGAACATTGTGTTATTCGTGAGTTGTCGTGAACTAGCTCTTTAGAGTCTTGAGCAGTGTAGGTGAAGGTGAGTTATTCGCAAGATGCGACGGATGGGCAACCAGCAGATGGACAAGCCGGGTTTATATAACGTGTAGAGACTTTGATGATTTATACAAGACGCATGACTTGATGCTGTACTTCTCGAAAATTCCGAATCCGATGACCGGCGGATTCCGCCCGGAATCTGTGACAAATGCCCAAGGATGCGCTGTACGGCCCCAGATCTCCATTAGCCCTTTCAGCGCCCCATTAAGTTTCGTCCACATCAGACCGGCGAGAATCCTTTGCCATACTCACTGTATCATTGTACGCCGCTAGTGAGAATAGAGCTCATTGGGCTCACCTGGCCCCACCCGTAATTTCACATATTTCAAAGCCCTTGTCGGAAACATATGGACAACACCATATGCATAAGTCGGAAATTTGAAGCCTCTATGAGAATATATTTACACAAACCCGCTGACTTGCATGAACGGCGTGCCCTCGGACGGTGTAGAATCAAAGGGTCAAGGTCAATGAGAGAAGGTCAGAACTGGACGATAACGGCAACCTCTGACGACAACACAGCTTCCCGCTGGACGGGAAGCTTCCTTATTCAGTGATCGACACGTTTCTCCCGACCCGCGTCAAGCACGTTGCTGCATCTTGCTCCTGCAACCATGGCGCATCCGTCAAATTCTTTGCCAATGTTCTCAAAGGACCCTCCACCTCCAAGTGAAAACGAAGGGAATGAGCTTGAGGACCATGAACTGCAAGGTCTACTCTCTGGTGTCCAGTCTTCCAACAGACAGGACGCGAAGAAGGAACGTGGTCTGTTCGATTGGCTCGATGACAGGAAACCCTGGACACGCAAACGCATGGCTCTTATAGCCGGGGGTCTGGTTTTACTGCTTCTTGGGGCCGCTTTAGCACCTCCTTGCTTGAACCTGGGAAGAGGTAATAGAAAATCCATGCACCCGAACCAGAAATTTGTTGGATCAGAATTACGTTCAAATGGCACACATGATTTCAAAAGAACTGTGCTCATTGTATCTATTGACGGACTAAGGTGCGCGAATTCACAGCTCGGTGTGCGATTACTCGTTCTAACGATTATGATTCCCTAGAGCGGATTATCTTGACCGCGGTTTGACGCCGCACCTGCTTGACATCAGCAAGAAAGGTCTACGGGCAAAGTACATGAAACCCATTTTCCCGGTATGTAATCCGATACGTAGCTATCTTTCTCAGGTCCATACTGATGAACAACACCTCCCGCTGTGCTATCTAATAGACGTTAACTTTTCCGTAAGCCCGTATCTTCCGTTTATACATGTCCCGGTTTTTGCTAATAGAATCGAGTAGCAATCATTGGGCGCTAATGTAAGTATCACTGGTCTCAGACTAGTACTTGATGAACAAAAGGAAATTTTCCTGAACCTCACCAATAGGACCGGGCTTTACGCCGAGTCACACGGAATAGTAGCAAATGTACGTCTGCCAGCCACAACAATTTAGCCTACCAATCAATCGATTCATTAATGTGGCGGCAGAACTTCTGGGATCCGCAATCCAAATCTGAGTTCCACTACAACAAAGAAACTACAACATGGAATCCCTCTTGGTGGTTTGGCGAGCCGGTAAGCACAACAAATGAAATCCTAGTGAGCCCAACGAACGAACGGAGAGACCTGACCGTTTGTGTGTATGTATAGATGTGGGAGACTACTGGACGAGCGGGACTTATCTCGGCGAATTTGATGTGGTGGGTAACTTTAGTCGTTATCCGAAGTTCGAAGCTGATGAACTAATACAGGCCAGGTCCGCCGAAGACTATGACTGGTGCTTCACCGACGTACTTCAAGCCTTGGCGGGTAAGCGGCGTCGGCGTGTAAGTGAAGAAATTAGATACTGAGTGGCTTTGATTTGGATAGGACAAGGTGCCTTTGGATGAGAAGCTTGATCAAATTATGGAGTGGATCGATATGCCGCTGGAAGACCGGCCCCAGCTCATCATGGGTAGGTGGTACGATTTGTGGTATTCATCTCATTTAACCAATATCTTTAGCTTATGAACCGACATTGGATCAGGCTGGCCATCTCAAGGGTCCCAATTCGAAGCTAGTAAATGTATGCATTCTTCTGTTGCTAATGTATGGAATACAGCCATATTGATGACATCGGATTTTCGCGCGTCCAGGATACTTTGAAATATGTGGATACATTTGCAAAGGATCTACACCTGGAACTCGTCGCACGGAACTTGACGGACATTGTCGACATCATCTTTGTCAGCGACCATGGCATGACGGATACAAGCCACCCTGAGTTAGTCTATCTTGATGACATACTCGGGGAAGAAGGGTATGCATACATCGAGCATGAGGACGGTAAGTCTAATTAGATTCATCCATCGAACAGCCTCACACTCCATGTCTTCATGTCTTTAATTCACCTGAAACAACTTCCACCCACACGTAGGTTGGCCAAGCAAAGGTCTATGGTTCTCGAACAAGTGCAATGTGACACATTACCTTGATGTACTGCTTTCGGCCGCGGCGGAGAACCCCGAGAAATTTGCTGTGTACACGCGCGAGACGATGCCGGAGCGGTATCACTTTGCGAATAGTGACCGGATTGCACCGGTATATGTCGTGCCGAAGATAGGCTACGCACTCACGACGCGGGCAGAAGGTGATGATGGTGTGTCCAAAGGGGTGAGTTCTTAGTCTAGACTGAGTTCAATATATACATAGCATGCTGATTGATTTCCTCTAGAGTCACGGATACGACAATAACGAACCCTCAATGCGGGCAATGTTCGTCGCACACGGACCGTTCTCGACGAATGTTAAAGATGTGAACAGCAAGCGTTCCGTTTCCTGGTCCTCTTCTCTTTTCTCGAGAGCGGCGAAGATGAACGCACCGACAGGGTGGCACTCCATTGACAAGTCTGCATATGTCATGGAAGGGTTTGAGAACGTGCAGATTTACGGCCTCGTCATGAAGCTTCTAGGTTTAGAGGATTGGTCCGCGAGAAACAATGCGACGAAGGGTTTCTGGGACAAGTATTTCTAGTGGCGTATCTCTCTTGGTTTACTCTATTCACTGTACTATACCATCTTTTTTATTTATGCTTGTAGTAGAGTAATTAATTTCGGTTTTTGTGGGTCCTTTCTTAATTTCGAGGCAGCATCTCGCGTCCCTGATCATTACCTGAGGTGGATCACATGATGACGTCTTTCCTCGGCGGTGCACAGCAGTGCTGCTGCGGCGTCCAACGGCCCAGAGACCGACTTCGGACAGGATATCACCATCATCATCTCTTTTTCACATCGACGACGACAGCGACGACTCACATTCTAACGACGACGAGCAACTTAAACATAGGCCACAATGTCGATGCTCGAGAAATTCAAAAAGGGGGCTCAGAAGGTGTGTTCACAGAATCATAGATACTCTTTAAATCTTTGATCCTCGGCGTCTGACTGGTATGCGGTGATTAAGGCAGGGATCCAGGCGACGGCATTCATGAACAATGCTGGGAATAAAGTCGCATCTGAGTCAAAGAGCTTTGCTCAGGGGTTCAGTCTTCCTGGTGAAGCGGAGAAGGCAGCGAAGATACTGCAGAGCTTCCTAGGTGCGTTCATTCACGTCTGTCATATTGAATTACTCAGAGAAGGTGTTTTCTAACACGAAGGCGTACATGCTACAATAGCTGACCCAGAGAACCCCGAATCTGCACTAAACGCAATACCGAAAGCTGTTTTACAACGGGCGCGAGGTACTTATTCTCAAAACGCTTACAATCGAAGGAGTCTTGTGCCTCCGCTAATGATTTCTTTTCACGATTTTTAGGTCTGGCCATCTTCCAAGTTCTAAAAGCCGGATTCGTCTTCTCAGGAAAAGCAGGTTCAGGTCTCGTCATCGCCCGACTTCCCGACGGTTCATGGTCTGCACCCTCATGCATCGCAACAGGCGGAGTCGGTTGGGGCTTACAAGTCGGCGCCGACATCACTGATTTCGTCGTCGTGCTCAACAGCGAAGACGCTGTACGTGCATTCTCGATGGGTGGTAATGTTACTATTGGTGGGAATATATCTGCAGCGGCGGGACCTATTGGGACTGGTGGGAGCGTACAGGCAAGTCTTGCGCACCCGGCGCCTATGTTTTCGTATTCGAAGTCGAAAGGTATGTTTTACAAAGTCATCTCTAGCATCATCATCATCAATCATAATAATTACCATCGCCATCGCCATCGTCATAATCTTATTAACAACATAACGCAGGTCTATTCGCTGGCCTTTCCCTCGAAGGAACTGTCCTCATCGAACGCAAAGACGCCAATCGCGATTTCTACGGCTCAGCCATCCCCGCACGTATGATCCTCGGTGGACAAGTCCCACCACCCGAGATCGCCTCTCGTTTGTATGAGATTATCGAAGCTGCTGAGGGTCTGGACGAGACGGGTCTTCCGGGTGAGGCGTACGTCCCTTCGGCTTCGGGCGATCATTTGCCTGTCAACTCCCAGTCGACGAATGCGGGGCAGACGGTGTTTGATGCGGAGGATCGACATGGATTTATGTGAGATAGCATGTAAGATGAGGTGAGATGGGCACAGATGAAGAGAAACGAGTAATTTGCCAGGGCGGACGGGAGAAGTTAGGAATAGGTTGATATTAAAAAATTGGGTGGGAATTGTTTCTTATTTCCTTTGATGCTGTTATACCTGCATTTCTTTTTCTATTTTCATCTTTCCGTGTGTAAGTTGTATGAGTACATATTTTAATGTTTGAAGATTCTTTTCTCTCGGCCATTCGGACGTTATGCATTGTTTGATGTTCGTATGGAAGTGTGTTCTGTTTCTCGATTGAGTAAACTCAAGTGATCGGCACTTCTTTTTCACGAACCACAGTCATCTCCTTCACAAGATACCACGACAACACTACACAACATCATAATCTGCCTTTTGCTCTACAGATCTGCTTCTATATGCTTCTACCGGATGCAAGCACACATTTCTAAATCCAGAGACTCTCTGTCGACCTTTAAAGCCTCAACCCTCAACTATGAAGCACTTAACGACTATAGCCACCAACACTTCTAATATAACCTGTCTGTATGCAGTCGCAAAGGACGGACTGCAGGGAGGAGCCGGTTGCTCCTGTCAGGTTTCAGCTCTGCTTTGCTACTCCTACAACAAGACAAACCTAAACTGCAAAGCGTGGACAACACCTCGTAGTGTCCCTCTCTTCTCATTTGTATACTGTTAAGCCTTTTCGGCCATTATACTTACCCTCAGCGGAAAAAGATACCTTTCTGGGCTAAGGAAAACATAGAGACCTACCCTAGTCTCTTGAATAGCTACACAAGCTGCACATTTGGCATCAGAACATCAGATTCGTACTCTGCCTTCTTTTATGTCCTCGACTGAGCATGTCTACAGTGATACCCTCGGAAATACCTCTGGCGCTCTGTACAGCCGGGTACCACTTACGATTACAGCCTCAGAGTTCTTTGTAGATGACCTTGCAGCAAATAATTCATCTGGAGAAGACTGGGACGACCATGGTTTCGATCGAACCCGGGATCAGCACCATCAAGGGTGGGACGCAGATTCAGAGCCTAGTGATGAAGATCCAGTGCCAGAACCCGAACTTAACCAAGACGATAATCCCGAGAATGACGTTTGGCGAACAATACCTCAGGACGAGTCACTAGTGGATTCGGACGAGGAAGAAGAAATACGTGCTCGTTGGGCAGAGACGGACCAATCCCCTCTCCTTGCATCTTCAGACACGAGCTCCTCAAACTCGAGTTTGCCTGATTCTGACGGAGACTCTTCAAGCATCGGATACCCCGTGCCGCATCCTTTACAAATAACTACACCTCGGCATTTGGGATTTAGAACTGAAGAAAGAGCCCAGATACGCAGACTTCCTGATTTCTTTGACCCTCGACTTCTTCTGAGGCGAGTAACCAGCCTCAGTGAGAGCGCGTATATGAATGCACGAGCTCGACTTGAAGACATCCTTGATGATCGGGCTCTAGAGAGAGTCTGGCCAGAGTATGTTGGTAATAATGTGTTTCGGTGGTACCAGCCTGTTCCCGTTGAGATTAACACGGTTGATGGATCATTCCAAGAGCGAGGTACTGACTAAGTCTCGCCATGTTGGGACCGGATTCTACAACCACACGAAAACGTTCATGCATCTGCTGGATCTCATTCAGACTTTGCCTAGACGAAGCTTACCTATGAAGAGGGAATATTACATGGGTTACACAGAAGCTGCATTACATACTAAGACAAAACCAAAATGGCCTTGCCAAATATCAATCTATATTAATATACACAAGATTTACCCAACTTCATTCTCTACTTCTACTTCAGCCTATCAGCATTACTTTTCTTTTTGCTTCAGATTAAGACAGCTTTTCAGGTAACAAGTCGTCGTCCTCATTGAAGGCCACTTGGGCCGACATCATGGATCTTCTATTCTGCCATTCTCCTTCTGGAGAATATTTCTTCCATTATGCTGTTAAATAAACCCCTTTTCTCTTACGCTTCCGCTGTTTCGACGTGCCTTCAGGTGTCACTTACTCACTCTTGTTTCACGACCAGTTGAGCGGCGTTCTTCTGGCTATGCATCTTTTGCCGACATGCTTAGAACGTTACAATATCGATCCCCTTCAAACGTGATTAGCTCAATACACTATGTGCCTCTCAAACGCTACCCGAAACTATGTCCCATGTGCACTTGACAACGTCCCGTACCTACAAGCCGTACTCAATTAAAACACGTTCCGTCAGATCCCACAAATCCTTTGCAAGAGAATCATCCCGCGCGTCCTTCGACGCTGGACCTAATTTGCCATAAGGTACCAGATACTGTCCATGATACTTACTCGCCTCGTCCCGTATCGCTTGTGCCGCTGCAGGAATGAGCACAGCGTTCGCACCCTGTTCTGGCGGTCTATGCACGAGACGGATTATGAGCTTATATAAAGAAGATAACGGCCAAGAAAAACGGTTTGCGAAATCGAGAATCCCCTCCGTTATGATCCAACCAGGATGAACGCTGAGGCACAGGATGTTGGATCCTCCATCGTTGCCAGTGGGAGAAGCCGCAAGACGACGCGCAAGCTCGCGAGTCCAAAGTATGTTCAACAGCTTTGTGAAACCGTAATGCTTGCGTTGACTATCAAGTCCTTTATCGACTACTTTCGGGAAATAAAAGTCGTCCTTGTCCTTTAGTCGGATATTCGAGACTAAGGCATGAGCGTCTGAAGTAACGTTGACGATGCGCACGTCCGAGTCAGGGAGTAAGGCAGTCCGCTTCAGCAGTGGTAGGTGGGTATTGGTGAACACAAACGGTGAAAGGTGACTTCAGTCAGAATTATTTAGCAACGAACTTGTCGTAGTGAAGGAAACACGGTACTAACTTGACTGCAACTGAAAGCGGCAACCCAATTGGATCACGATCATATGGTACTATCAACCTAGAACTATTAAGCTTTCTGTCTGTCAATAGTAGAAAATATAAATAATCGCTCACCGTGATGTATTGTTTACTAAAACCGACCCAGATGAACAATCAGCATTCAATCGAGAGCTTAACATTATAATAGCCTACCTAGAATATCGAGTCTGGATTCTCGATTTAAAAACTCTTCCGCAGATTTCTTTGCGTCCCTGGGATCGTCAAAGACGGCCTTATGAAATACAGGTCTCCCGTTCCCAGGACCGAGACCTTCAGCCTGCAAACGAGAAATAGTTGCCGTGGCTTTATTCTCGTTTCTTGCAGCAAGATAGACGGTTGCGCCCTTGCGCAGTAGGCCTTGTGTAACAGCATATCCAATACCCGACCTGGAATTCAAGAGGACATTTTAGTCGTAATTACTATTGAGCAGAGCTGAATGAACGATAACTTACGTTGCACCTGTGACAATTGCGACTTTGCCCGTCAGGTCAGGCAAGTCTTTAATAGGATTAAAGCGTGTCATGACAGTTTTCCAGTCTGAGGGCACGACCAGAAGCTCAGGATTTATGATTTATAAAGATATTATAAATATCCCGACAAGTTGCGGAACGGTCAAGAGCCAACGATCGCCGAAATCATTTGTTTCCTCAGATCCGGCTCGCTCGGCTAGTTGAGCGCCTGATTCCGGAGCACCATTTCATTTCTCTTTTAGTTTTCTTGATCTCACAGTTTCTCCATCGGACACACATAAACAAAGGTCTTCAAGCATAGTGGTTGTAAATTGTGCACACTCAAGGCCCAGATTGGGTGGGAATGGCGTTCAATGCCATTGATAGACGTCACACGAGGCAAGATCAAATTTTGAAAGTACTCAGAATTTTTATCAGAATGTGAGAAAGCTGCTCTGATTGGCTGCTTTTACATTCTGACTAAAATTCTGGTCAATACATAATGTGAATTTGCCGTGTGTGTGTGTTAGTTCTATTTTCGACTCGTCGGACACTGGCTGTGTATGAAGTACAACTGAAACCGATTTGTCTTTGCATCCCAGTGCTTATGCGTAATGCGTCATGATTGTACTGGAACTTTGCCACACAAATATTATTCAATAAATCATATGTATGTAGCCCTTGCATGATGGTCTGTAATCTGAATATGTGTCTCGCTAGCATGGACTCTCCGAACAGCATTAAGAATACAGCTTCAATCCTCTTCATATTGAGATTAGCCCTAATGCACGCGCCTCTCGACTACTTGCCTAATTGCGCCCTGTACTTGTTAGTGACTCATTCCCCAAACCATACTCAGTCAAAACACGTTCTGTCAGATCCCATAAATCCCTTGCAAGAGAATCATCCAGTGCATCTTTTGACGCTGGACCTAACTTGCCGTAAGGTACCAGATATTGTCCATGATATCTGCCCGAATCATTCCGTATCGACTGTGCTGCTGCAGGAATAAGTACAGTGCTTCCACCCTGTTCCGGTGTTCTAAACAGGAGTCGCGTTAAGAACTTGAAGAAAGAGGATAATGGCCAAGGATAACGGTCTGAGAGTTCAAGAACTCCTTCCGTCCCAACCCAGCCAGGGTGAACGCAGAGGCACAGAATATTAATACCTCCGTCGTTGGATGAAGCCGTAAGACGACGTGCGAGCTCGCGAGTCCATAAAATATCCAACAATTTCGTGAAGCCATAATGCTTGCGTTGGTTAGCAGTTCCTTCGTCGACCACTTTCGGAAAATAAAAGTCGTCCTTGTTCTTTAGCCGGATATCCGGGACTAAAGCATGGGAGTCCGAAGCAACATTGACGATCCGCACGTCCGTGTCCGGGAGTAAAGCCGTTTGCTTCATCAGAGGTAAGAGGATATTCGTGAACACAAAGGGTGAAAAATAACTGTGGTCGGAATAGACTTGTCAGCTCTGAACCTGTAGGTCAATGAAACATGGCGTTTACTTGACTGATATTGAAAGTGGCAACCCCATTGGATCACGCTCATATGGTAACACCATAATCTGCCAACTGCAGAAAAGCCTATTGCTCACCGCGCTATATTGTTTACTTGAATGGAAGCAAATTTAGCATTGGCTATTTAACAGTGCGCTCGACACTATAAATGGCATACCTAATATGTCAAGCCCAGACTCACGAGACAGGAACTCTTCCGCAGATTTCTTCGCATTCCTGGGATCGTCGAAGACGGCCTTAAGAAATATTGGCTTCCCGTTTCCCGGCCCGAGACCTTCCGCCTGCAAACGTGCAATAGTTCCTGTAGCTTTACTCTCATTTCTTGCAGCAAGGTACACAGTTGCACCTTTGCGTAATAGTGCTCGTGCTACAACATATCCTATACCAGACCTAGAATTTTACGGGTAAGCCTCAGTCACGACTACTGTCTTGTAAAGCTGAATGAATTACGACTCACGTCGCTCCAGTGACAATTGCAACTTTGCCCGTCAGGTCAGGCAAGTCCTTAGTAGGATCAGAACGTGTCATGATATAATCCTAAGTCGAAGGACAAGAGCCTGATGATACTCAGAGTCAGAACCGCAGGGTGGTTTATAAACATTTCGGACAGGTCCCGAATTTGTCAAGAGCCAGCGATTGCAATCATTCAATTCCTTCGAGCATGCTGTGCTCGGTTGGCTGAGCGTCAGATTTCGGAGCAGTCAATTTATTTTTTCCCGAGCTTTTGTTTCATACGTCTATCAGATGCACATGTATGCTGAGGGTCCAGATTGATAGGAAGGGCGTGCGACAATGGATGATACCATTGCCATTGTGAGATTTGTCGGTTGTTTCGAATCTATCAGTACTAAGTAGACAATACAATGACGAGTATGTGCAGTGTATCATAGTTGTAAATGGGTCGTTGTCAATTTGCTTGCAGGATTGGCTTTTGCCACACAAATACGTATTCCAGTAAAACTTGAATAATTGAGTGCATATTGCTGTTTGTCTATATATGCGTCTTAACTGTATGAGGAAAGAGATAATGTGACCCAAAAATAACTAAAAACAGAATGAGGTCTGTACTGCATTTAGTTGAGTGCCAAATACAGAAAGCGTGTAGACAAACATGGTTCAACAGTATAATGCACTTGACTAGTAGGATCATCGACTGTTAATGCCGATGTTCATTTGTAATATGTACAATGTATGCACAGACCTTGTTTCTGCTAAACGAGGTCTACCAGAAGTATATTATGGCGTAGCCGAGAACAAGTACAGTATATGTCCGAACCATATCCCATATAGATTTTAATCCCAGGTTGTCCAATGTGTGCGTTTCTGACCATACATCCTTTACCCGTCTTCTTCAGAATCCGGCATCAGTCACAACAGTCGGTGGACACAGATATAGTAGGATAGTTGGCAATCTATAACTGCTAATTTGAAGTAAAGGAATTGACTGCAGACTTATCCAGAAGGTCCTCCTGACCCATTACAACCCAACACAGATGAATAAACGTATAAAAAACCAATCTTCTCATCCAAGTGCTGGTATGATCAGATACAACCACTTACCAGATGAGAAAATGAAGGAAAGGAAAGGGAAAGGAATGGAAGACATGTCCCAAAAATAACCAGAACAGGAAGATAACTCAAAAACATAGAAAGAGATGGACGTGATGAGAACAGCAGTAGTAATAGTAGTATCGTGCATTGTTAATGAACTGTCAGAGATGATCTTTACTTGGTAGAAGTGCTCACACTCGTGCCAAGGAATGCGTAACTGGCCACTCATCAAGAGACTGACTGCACGCGCTTGTACTCGATCAATCAATGTTGCAAGAACTTTCAAGTCTTGTCTTCATTGATAAATGGCAATCGACAAGGTGGAGTCTGATCTCTTCGAGAGGAAGAGTCGTGAATACCCACCTGCGTCAACTCAAACTATTTAAACAATACGCAAAAAGGCGTCGGCTGAGATAAGGAGACAAAGCGATTTTTTCATTATTAATACATGGACAACAACGCAGCATTGGGGCATGACGACAAGCGAAGTCAAACAAAGAAGAGAAGAAGAGAGAAAAAGAAAAGGCTAAAGGGCCAAAGAAGAAGTATGTACAGAAAGCACTGACATCAGGCATACAAAGAAACGAAAAAAGAAACTAAAAGGAAGTGCATACAGAAGAACTGAAGTCATAAGAGAGGCTTTCAATAAAGCGACGAAAAGACAAAGTTCGAATAGGAACGTTCGATTTTCGTTTGACTTCGTCCGTTGAAGGTACAGCCTTGGAGGTTGAGGAAAGGAAGCGCGAACCCAGATAGATGTGGAAGAGACAAGTCGAAGAGACAAACACAGGCAAGACGCATGAACATAGACAACCGGTATTGAAAGAAGCCAGAACGATTTAATTGAAGTAATATCAACGCAGCACAGAATAGAAGATGAACGAAGGCGGTGGTGGTATCATGGTGCGATGACATGCAGTGGCACCAGGCAAAGATGATTGAGTTGAATCGTGTTCCGCAATCAGCGAAACGAGGGAGGCAAAAAGGTGAAAGCAACAGGAAGGGAGAAAAGAATCAAAGTACGAAACCGGCTGCCTATATGCGCTGCGTCAAGCATTTACTCGTCACTTCACCTCCTACCGTACGCCTGCTGGGGAGGACCTCCCTGAGGCGGCGGTGCCCATGCACCCGCCATGCCAGGTGGGGCCGGATAATAGCCTGCGGCGCCGTACATGGGGGGCGCGTACATCCCACCCGGTGGTGGTGGCCCAGGATGACCAGGAGTGCCGTCTTGGCCGCCGCTTCCGGGAGCACCAGAGTAAGCAGCTTGACTCATTGGCATGCCCGCTTGTGGTGCACCGACATGGGCACTGGGAGTCGTAGGACTACGCGCCGTTCCCGCACCTGTACTGTTCGCACCCGCCTTCCCGGCACCGGACGTCCGCCGGCGTGCAGCGCCGCGCTTCTCACCCTCTTGGTCAGCGTCATCGTGTGTATCTCGTTCGCCCTCACCCTCGTCACCCTGGGCAACGCTACCTTGACTGCCACTAGGATTGATCTGCAATCCACCAGGAACGTTGCGTGTTTGCATTGGCGGCGGCATACCCGGCATCGGGCCCTGGGACTGCGGAGGGGGTGCAGGAGCGGGCGTCTGAATTTGCTGAGGAGCGGACCGCCCGAGTGGGGTGCCGACGGGCATACTGGACGGTAGTTGACCATGGGGCGCATTGAGACATGCCTGGATGAGGTTCTTGCCCTCTGGTTGAGTTACGAGGGGTTGGAGTTTGGCGGTCGTGAACGTATAGACAAGCCCGGTCTCGGAGACAACGAGCAGAAGGACTTGCGTGCCAGTGAGTGTCGAGAGTTCATAAGCTTTCTTCATGATACCTGTGTTGTTGAGTTGTTGTGTTGTGGTCAGCGCATATATTCACACGGTTCGGAAATAAATGTTAAATAAATGCTGAATAAATAAATAAAATATTATGGGGGCGATGGCGACAGCGACGACGACGACAAAACATGAACTATGACGCGTCGGGATCGAAAGAGATAGAGTACGGTACTCACCAGCCTTCCTCTTTGAGAACGTGATGTGGCGCCGACTCTTGTCCTGAATGAATTCGATTTTAATTTTGCGACGGCCAGCCTTCTTGTCTGACTTGACGCCCTCCTCGTCGTCATCGTCAGCACCCGACTCTGCGGCTTCGTTGTCATTGACGAAGCCGTCTTCGGTGGCCGGCTGTTGTTGGACGGCAGCATTTGCCTGCACGGGATCAGTGGAAGCCTGCATTGCTGCGCGGGATCGTTTACGGGTGTTCGGCGTGGAAGACTGTGCGTCGGGGGACATGCGCTGTGGGCGAGTCCGTGGTAGCGACGACGGGAAGAGCGGCTGCGCGGGCAAGACTAGCTAGAGTGGCCGAATAGCGCGCGCGTCGCGTCGTGAGCGTGTCGTGCGGTTGCGTGCGTTGTGTGTGTCCTGTCTCGTTCAGGCAGGCAGGACTGGTCTGTCCAGAAAGGGGAGTGTGGGTCGTCTGAAGCAGGAAGGTGCCCCACTGCCGCAACAACTTCTCTTTTTGAACTGGCGCGTTACACGGGCGACTAGTTACAGTCACGATAACACCGCACATATTTAATTCTCTATTTATTATCTAACCCTGTGCTGTGCTGACCAACGAGCACCCCCTTTTCTAGCCTACCCAATCGTAGAGCCTCGGCTGCCCGCTTCGCATCACGCTGTCCAAATCGGTGCCTAGAACTTCCCACAGCGCCCGCTTCTTCGATCCCTTGATCCTCATTACGGGAAACTGCCCACTCCTCCCTCCCTCTTCTGGCAACTGCCCGATAAGTAGACGGGCACGCATATGGACACCAGATAGCACGGGCACGCTGCCATGCCCTCTGCGAAGTCGAACAGCAGGACCACGAGAAGAATGTTGCGGCACATCAGCACAGCTCACAAAAGAGGGGATGTCCCTCGCCGGAAATAGTCAGCGGACAAGCTGAGCAAACTTCCAAATCCGCAGTCCGACCCCACGTGTTGCAAATGAGATCGATATCGACCGCATCTTTCCGTATCTGGTCCCCAAACCTTCCTTGGGTCACGCGCGTGCGTGCTGACCGGCGTTCCCCAGCACGCTCAAGACTTCTCCCGCCCGCTGGACTTACAGCCATTCGTCCTCTCCTGCCCCCTCTAATTCCCCTTCCGTGTGCTGGAGCGGGAGAGCAGGAGAGTGAGCAATCCCCGCACAGCGTGTCGTCGCCAACTCTTATGACACAAACTCCTCTCTGACACGTCCGAATCTCGAGATTGCTGGCTTTATCGCCGTAGCAACTGGTGTTTCGGCTCCCTCAACAAACTGCCTTCCCTTCCTAGCCAGCTTCTTCGGCCTTGTCGCACGCCACAATCAGGGGCACGAGTGACTCATGCACACAGCTCGGCGAACACAGACCCCAAAATGGGACGCATAAGCCCCTCATTTGGCCTTATCAGTTCCCGTGTCGCTTCTTTTGGCGCCGCAGCCGGGCGACTTCATCTCCGTTCTGGAAGAGAGAGAAAAAAAAACCGCACATCACATCGCGCACAAAGTGAACTCTATTGCAACGATGCTCATGACGTAAAAAGTGAAAAAAATAACCGAATTCGAGCTCCGTCCGAAACGGGACGTGGACAGAACGGGAAATGATCGCTCTTTGACTGCAAATGCATGGGGTAATCGCCGACCCGAAGGGAAACGACTCGTACTGGGCTTGCGGCGGTAGAGGACACTTGAACGAAAGAAAGGGAGCATCTTGCTCCCTCCCGTTGAGTGCTAATGCTTATCCCCTGCACCGCTCTATGCACTGCACTGCACCAGTTTCCTCCCCCACACAGACGAAAAGTTAATCACCCCGAATAGGAGACCTGAGCGTCTAATAAAAGATGAGCACGTCGAATTGCTTCCGTCGAGCGTGTCCCCGTTCCGCACGCTTGGCGAATTAGGAAGCAATGACAATACGCACACGCATTCAGACATGCGTCGGGTCTAGATCGTCGGCGATGGTGCTGTTCCCCTCTCTGTCATCATCATCTGAGGGAGTTTCGATCCTCGGATACCAAAACGGGGGGACAAAGGGACGAGTGAGCTTTGAGAAGAGTCAAGGTTCTCTCAATATCCACTCACATGCACTCCCGCAATTTCGCACATAGTGCTCTCTATCTTTAAGTAGTATGACGCAGCGCTTATGACTAGCTAGCACACGGATTCACGGTACAAAGTAACAAGACGGAGGTCCGGTTACGGTGAATCATCTCAAGAACGTATATAACCGGACAAGTAGAAGACTTTGGGGTAAGTCCAAGACCACCTACGAAGCATCGAAGAGACGAAAGCGAAATCGAAGGTATTATTTACCTGCTTGTTCCTTACCATACATTTCCTTTTCCTCCCTCGAGGCCCGAAATGAACGCGCGGAGCTTATGCGAAGATTCGGGAATCGGATAGATAATAGAAAGGGATGCTTTTTATTACAGTAGAAGCCTCCGCACTGTCGGATACATAACACAGCCTTAGTCTTTCCACCTATGTCCGTCATCGCCCGGTCAATTCCTTCTTGTTCCTCTCGTATCATGCGGCCTTTACGTGCCGAACTTCCATAGTAGTGACCCCACCTTCCCAGAGGTAGCCAAATAACCCGAAAGCACCCCAGACCTCTCCAGACTGACCACCAAACAAAGTTAAAGCTCTAAGTCTGCCACTCATTCCCCAACCTCTCCGCCTTTCCCCTTCCAACATTTCCTAATGAAAGCTTCCGTGAACATTAATTGATGTTGATATATTACTCGCAGTATATGCGTACAATGAATGCTATTGCGTGATACCGCATTTAACAATTCGCTTTGAACGCTATCAAACTATATGTCAGACATCTCCGTAATCAAGCTTTTTACCGTCGAGATAATAGATTAGATTTATATTTATGTACATTTTTGTGATTGAATCCGAGATAGACAACATTAGTCCATGCCCCGATCGAAGTGTGCGAAGTCGTGTTGATGTACCTGAAAGTCGTTGCAACTTCGGGCTTTCGGCCGCCTATTCCTCACCTCCAAGGGAAAGTATAAATTGTATGAACAAAATGCAGGTGCTATTTTCGTCTACAGTACGGTAATAAAATACACTTGTTGCAATTACTTTCTTAATTCTCAATCGTTTAAACAAGAATGCTAATTTTTACGCACTTATTATCCAGTCATCTTGTGGAGCAGAAGCAAAATCAAAGCAAAGCAGAAAAAAAAGAAAAGAACGCAGAAAGCAAGTAGAGCAAGTAAGCAAAGCAAGAAATCGAACTCAAATGAACAAGCGGACGGACGAGGAGCGAAAAGGCATCCCCGACTTGCACAACACAATATCCTGGAAACCCAAGGAGGCTCCCAGGTGGCGCCTAAGCGCTCTTTACTTCACAACTACCCAATTCAACGTATCACCGCACTTCACCAATGCAGAGCATTGCTCCACATGGCGAACCCCCAACACCACTGCTGAGAAAACATGAGGAAGAGTGCAAACCGTTGAGTAACCAAGGCGATCTTAAAATCTTGTACGTTCTGGTCCTATAAGGGCTGCGATCGCCTGTGAAATCCTCTCTTCTACTGAGGTAACAGATGATAGCGGTTGGGTCGAGGCCTTGACGACTCCTGTTGTCCTCTGACGCGCTTGAAGCAATTGGTCGACGATCTCTGATTCGTTATAACCTTGAAGAATATCAGGCATTGTCTCGATGAGGTAGCGGGCTGTTTCGTTGTCTGCGTAAACAGTGATAATGGAGGGAATCGTTGAGATTGAAAAGAGTGGTAAGTCACCAACGACAGATTGCAAATATATACGCACCGTTGGGCTCGAGGTCATTAAGATGTAAGTCTGCGCATGACTTATCATGACATACACCACCGCCGGGTATCTCGAACTGACAGACGCGCCGATCCGGATCGCTACCCGCCTCGCGTGTCATGACAGCCACTCTCAAAGGTCGTAAGTCGGGAATGATTACCGTCGGAGCTATAGTAGCAGAGCAAGTGCTGGAAGAAAAAGTCGAGGTAGAACTACAAGACGCAGGAGAAGGATCACAAGATAACTGCGCTTCCGAAGCGAGATCTGCAACTACTCGAGAACGAGATCTAAGAAGGGGATAGGTATAGAAAGGAGAACTGTATGCAGAAAATATTGTGCGGATCTCTTGCTGTAATTCATTCTAGAAATAGACAAAATAAGAACTCGTAACATACATCGAAAGCCGTACGGCTTATCTTCGGGGACGTACCAGGGCCGACGTCTCCTGACTAGGAACGTCTACCGGCGTGTTCGTTGTAACGCTTTCAGAGACTTCCAACGCATTTTGCTGGAGGCGTAGCAATAACCAATGTGCCAAGAAAGGCAGCAGTGCAGATTACAATAACCAAGAAATGGAAATGAAAAGGGTGAGTCAGGACTTATTGCAATGAATGGGCAGTGACGAAAAGGAACGATTATCTTGCCCCTATTTCTCCTCTGGCTTCTGCATCCAAAACTGGTATTGAGCATTCTCAGCCGGAGTCCTACGAGCTAAATAAGAATAACTTACCGGGCTTCACCGTTGTATCGTGTTCGAATGAATCCATCTTGACGTCTACAAAGTTCAGAAGATGTTAGTTAGTTTACCGGAAATCTTTCTAAACCTGAGGGATTGAACCAGTAGGCGTAGCTAATGCTGATTCGGATGATGACCCTACCCCTTTGAAATATAAGTTCATTGCCACCTAGGCAGTGATTAGGACACACCAATATTATTCAAAGTTTCCATGACAATATCTTCATCTGCTTGATCCTCGGTGGAAGGCGAAGGGGAATGCGATGATCCGCTGACGTGTTCTGAAGGAGTTTGAATGGCTAGAGTAGCAAGATCCACGTTTTCTACTTCCACGGAAGCAGTCGTCGCCGACAAATCTCCTAGAGTTGTGGTAGATACAGCGGTCGTCGGTGGTGGTGTCCCGGCTGGTGTCCGTAATTTCTACATCCGCACCAAATCAATTCCGTCACAACCTCTAGGCAGGGATTCCCCGCAACAGAGGAGAAATGAGGAATCTTTTGGAGTAAACACTCACCTCTGCAAGCTTCCTCAAACGTTCCCGTTCCCTCTTGGCTATCAGCTCCTTCATGCGTTTTATTTGCTGTTCTTTTTCTGCTAGCGAAGCTGGGGAAATTACTGGGGTTGCTGATTTTATTGGTACTATTCCGGATGTATTTTGGGGGCGGGTGCTCTGAGGACGGGTGGTAGGTATTGCAGTACTCATTGTAGCCTGATTCGTGGACCTGGATGCTGGCTCGGGGGCCGAAGCTACCCCTTCATCGGCAGTATCGCCATATCCATCGTCTTCACTATCAGTCAGATCAATAACACAACGCCGCGAATTGTGTCCTCCAAGGCCAGCGAAGCTACTTAGTTTATGGCGGACAAACGGAGGAGGAACTGGTGACGGCGCGCTTGTTCGGCTGATTGCGGGTTGTTGTTCAAGGTCAACAAAGTCCATTGCCACGGGACGTTTCGTCCCGCGCTTAGTTTTGAACAATCTCCCGGGTGTCGGACTCGCAGGAACTGACATGGGTTTAGCAGGACGCTCGAAAATAGGTATAGATGGAGAGGGCAGCCCTGTATATGGACGAGTAGAACCTTTCGATGTGTCACCTTGTGCTGCTGCTGCTATAGAGCCGGAGAACTCAACGTCTATTTGAGCAGACGCCGAAGGCAATACGCTGCTGACAGGAGATTCGGATTTGGCATAAACGGACTGATCAGGACTTCGGTTAGCTTTGAAGGCCTTGCCAGGGTCAACATCCATGGCACAGTGCGTCTCTGTTGAGGAGGTGCTTGAAGTCCCAGAAGCCGGAGCATTGGTAACAAAAGGAATGCCCAATGCCACACCACCGCTAAGCGTTCTCCCCTTCGGACCAGGAGGCGAAACGGCTGTCTGCGATGACGGCGTAGTTGTCTCCAACATGCTCTTCAGGAAGTCATCCACTGCCTCCGTGGGAGCAAGTGGCATGGGCTCCTCAAGAATCGGGCCATCAAGCACCGTCGATGGTGCCGACGACAACATAGGAGGAACGACAATTTCACTGGACGCAGGAGGGACGTCTTTCTTCCGGCGAGAGGCAAGCACGGCTTTCCGCGCCTGTAATTCCTGTTTCCTCTGAGCTTCTAGATCACTCAATTTCTGGGCTATCGCACGATTTTGGGAACCAGAAGGTCCTGGTATTAAGGACGTCGAAGAAGTAGCTTGGGGAATAGATGGTTTCAATGGTAGAGGATGACTGAGAGAAGGCCGACGAGCATCCGACGAGATTTCTGGCGATCGCTGAATGGTACCTGAGGAAGAAATCCCAGTAGGAACTTCTGCTGGTTGTGTTAAGGTTGAAGATACCGTTCTGGCCATGCCGTTGCGTGGAAGCGGAGGCAGAAGATCAGTGGTATCAAGATTCCTAGGAAGCCTTAAGTTAAGTTCTGTAAATGTATAGAACACTGCTTCTCGTGTTAGGCCACAGTCGACAAGATACTCTGGGGAAACACCCCAGCCCAGAAGATCAAGAATGAGCTCTTTGACTAAATTGAACTGTTCCATGTTCACTGTAATGACATATCAGCATGATTGTTCCTTCAACTAATTTATTCTCCTTACTTCGCAATCCTGGACGGACTTCATCTTCTGTCGGTACCCAATTGGTCCACAGATCGTAATCCCTTAAACTGTCAGACGAAAGGATCGCGGCTTGTTCATTGAAGGAAGACGAAGAGGACATTAAACGATCATCATTCGTTGTCGTCGATGAGCCAATAATAGTCAACTGCAGATTATCTGGTCTTCTGAAGCTAGAACTAGCTGGCGTGTCATTTGCATGGGACGTTGGCGAAGTAGGAAGCGGATCTGGATCCTCATCGCTGATCTCGCCTTCTTCTTTGATCTCATCTTCGGTGGGCGTTGCAGCTTTGTCGACAGAAAATTTATCTCCAGCAACTACATCCAGTGAGACAGCTTGAATTTGTTCTTCACTCGCTTCAGTTCCGTAGTCGAGAAGAATGGTATTCTCAGTTGGCGCAGCAGGGCGAACTGGAGGATGTATGGTCGGCACAGCTTTCCGTTTACCTGCCGGCTCTTTTCGACGTTTTGGTCGCAATGTCGATAATGCCAAAGCACGAAGTGATGAGACACTATCTGCCACAGGATTGGAGGGAGCACCGGATTGCGCTGCTGATAAAGGCGCAGAGGTATCGTGCCCTGCGGCTTGTCCGTCTTCATAGTCCATCGGCTTGAACTCCTGAGTCATAGCTTGGAGGGCCAGCATGAACAAGCAACAAGGCCAATGCAGTATATGTAAGAAAGAGAGAGGATGGAGGACAAGAACGAGATGTGGAGGACGTGGAACGAGGTGAGGTAGAATCGCTTAGAAAAGCAGTCGTGCAACCATGAGCGCTTACGTGTTTTCTCTCCTTGTCACGGACGTGACGAGTGACGAGTAACTGGCCCTAAAGAAAGACCTCTCTATGATCCGGTAATGCCTCTCCCCGAGTAGCCGGTGAAGCAGAATCTTGCACAAGACCACCATCACCCTTCAACGCGCACAAATGGCTTCGTCCACCTCTGCAATGACAGACTTTCAGTTTGCTTTCGACCCGACACTTTTTCCAGACCCTCCAGCGGTACCTCCTTCCTCGGAGCTCTTCTCCGCGTCTGAAGCCGACAACATCTTTGGCTTTCTCGACAACTTCAATGACTGGGACTTCGATGGCGACCTCTTTGGCAGGCTAGCGCAGCAAAACATTATGCCGCCGCCACTGCCATCCCAGGACACATACATAGGCGGATTTCCGGAGCTTGCGGGGAATGCCTTGAGCAAGCCGGACATGAGCCCTCCTTCGTCTGTGAGCACAGAGGTCTCCTCTCAGCCATTGGCTCGGCACCAGCCCCATCGACGGAAACGGTCGCCGTCTTCAAGTGCACATAGTCCAGATTCTCCTAGCTCAACTCGCAGAGCCTCCATCTCCAGTATGAATGGACCAGGGCGTACTCGTCCCTTGCTCGACGACAAGCAGAAACGCATGAACCATATTATGTCAGAGCAGAAGCGGCGAAATGCAATTCGCGATGGATACGCTCAGTTGACAACCCTTCTCGCGCCGGCAGGCGCGCCTCCTGGAACACTCATGCCGACACGAGGGCGACCAAAAGGGAGTGGTGCGAAAGGAAAGGGGCGACCTAGCGCGGGTAAAAGCGGTGTTCTCCTCCGCGCAGTGGAATATTGTCGGTGGCTCGAGGAGGGAAGGGATGCCCTTCTGGAGGAAGTCAAACGGCTGGAGGCTGCCTCTGGTGTTCGTGTTGACTTATAATTGTGTATTTCTCGGGAATTTATTGCGTAAGAGTTTTCCGTTCTTGTTTGCCATTCACATTCTAACACACTGGCCCAGATTATAGTCTTGTTAATACTGCATGTCATACCTTGTCTTCGGTTTGTTCGACTTTTTCTTGTCTTGACTCTGTATACCAGCAAAGGCATTTTACGACCTCTAATGTTGATGCTCCTGTATGCATCGCCCAGTTTGTCCCTGGTAATCTTATCCATTGTAATGTAAACAAAAGGCACAACAGTGATCATGGTACTTCCACCCTGGTAATGTAAAATGCGGCAGATGATAATAATTTCACCCTGATATCCACTCTGTGCCATTGAGCCACCCTTCCTTCACCCCTTCAGATAGCCTTCCGTATAGGTAACCAGAGCCAAGCGGCTGCGAATGATTACCCGAACAAGCTTTCGTTACCATGCAACTCGGTGGTCGACGAATTCCACTTACTGGTTGTGCCAAGAATACTGAGTACTCGTGTCAATAATGATCACGAAACCTGGTCCGAGACGGATCTGAGATACTTGTTATATCTAGTGACTGTGAGACTGCACTTAGAGTGCGAGATCGCGCCTCCAGCCTGAAAAAATAACGCAAGAGTTTTTTTCCAAGGCTGAGACGAACGTACAATATATATACTCTACCCCTACAAAATTAACACGAAGGCTCTTATTGAAAGAATTTTTACAGTGGCTATATAATTTTACATCCCTAACTAACTACAGAAGTCCATTTGATAAACAGAGTTAAAGACACGATAGCAGACCTAAGATTACAGTTTAGATGCGGAAATGAAGGGTATGTGCCTTTCTCGCCTCCGGTTTTTACGGGCTAGAGCATCGGTCGGCATGAAGGGAAGGGAGTTAACATCATGACTTGTCTGATCCCATTCAAATTAGACTCGAGAATTGAGCGAGCGTGTGGCTTCCACGCAAGAAGCTGAGGGACATGAGAAAACTGATAAAGTAAGGGGACACGCTGCCGGAATTTTGACGTCGTTTACCGTCTACTACCTCTTGTACACGTCTTCCGTCTCAAAGCTAGGATGATGAGATTGTCTCTGTCACGAGTCGGTCCGTAATCAGGGAGGGAGAAAGCAGGCCGAGGCACACTTCTGGTCCCTTCCCTGTACGGAAATCTATGCAGGATCAAAGGAGTGATTGTAATGCACATCTTTTGGGAGGGTTGCACTTCGGCCATGGCAAATTATATGCAGTGCACGAAGGTCAAGAAAGAGCCTTCTTCTCAATTGCCTTATTTAGAGTTTCCTTTTCGGGAGCGCTAATGCGTCATCGCGTTGTTGTGAGCAATTCATTTCTTCACTTATCACTGCTTGCTCTCTTTTACTGAGTCGGCATGGAAGCTCATGCATCTGTACGCTCTCAAATCTCGAAAAAAGCAGCCTCTGCCTGTATCTGAACTGTTTTATTTAGTATGCTGCGATCTCCGATTTAGCCGTCAAATACCCCAAAGCAGCTGCCAGTTTATTCGCAACGTACAATGACTTGTTGCTAGGTACGGCCCTATTTTTTATTTTTTATTTCAGGGAACGGATATTGTGACTCATATACCATGGTCTGGATTCTTTCTGGCTCCGCCAACTGATTTCGCTCTTGAACAGTGCAGACATGGGCTGACCTGGAAGTCGTTGACATTCCAAGCGGTTTCCGTGGAGCTCTTCGCGGTCGTCGACCAAACTTTGTAAAGAATTATTCTTAACTTAATTTAGTAAAAACTTCAATGCCAATCACCTTACTTTACAGGAAGCGACTGATACCGTTGTGCCTTGCTCCATGGCAGAAACGCTATCACTGGCTTGGTGAGCTCCTTTGTACCTTTCAAGTGGACGTGAAGCGATTTGCTGACCGCATTATTTTTACTAAGGCTAAAGGATGTTTTCAAAGACCTGAGTGATCCCCCAGCGATATATCTAGCTGTCTGCACCGAGGACTCGTCGCTTGTCTACTATAAAATTAGCCGAGGATTCGTCAAACCTACAATGTAGCTGTTCAACCTACGCAGATCGCTGCCAGAAGGTGAAACAACATTAATTGGAACGGACGTATTCGTCATCTGATGATGGTATTTTCATACGAGGGTAGATTTACTTCTTTGTGCTTAATCCCACCAATCAGCTACCGTCGAGTGTGCATAGAGCTGAACGAAAAGAACTGGAGACCGTTCGCCCTTTCGAATGTCAAAACGAGCTTCGGTTCCGGCGCGTATACCATCGTTCGTTATCGGTGTAATTTATGGTCTTTTCTCCGGACAGCGGGATGGTCTGATCTAAATTAATCTCCCTTGCCAATTCCGGTACCGTTCGGATAGACTTCGGAACTTTTGTTGCGCAAATCCAACTCTCGTCGCAACAAATCACGTCACCCTTCATGGCAACCATGCCTTCACTGGACTGAGCAATGGGAATGCCGACTGACAAATATCTTCAATTGTCCCTTGGTCGCGCCTTATCCTATCTATTGCATACTCTGTTCTAGCTTTTAGACTCTTGCATATCACCTCTCGTTTCGCAGCAACCTCGGGGCCGACACCCCCTGTAATGCTAAACTTAAGTCGTTACTCCCGAGGAAAGAACGCGAGAATACAGTGTCCTTATAGATGCTATATTGTTGAGGCTCGGAAATCCGTGCGCAGGCAGGCCTCGATTCCAGATCATACTCCTTGTACATCTTCCTTTGCGAACTGAAGTACGCATGCCACTCAATGCCTTGCTGGCACTAGAGCACGAATGGATCGTCAATATGGCAAATGACTAGTTAAAAGGCCCAGTGCATAAGTGTCTTATGCTCCTAGCAAGTATCACCCTTGGTCTACAATGGTTAAACGTCTCAGGTTCGCAACCGTTGTCTCTCTCGCCGTTGCCCTCGCTCGTGCTGCGGTAACATCGGAATCGTACGTGTGGGAGAATGTCAAGATCGGAGGAGGTGGAGGATTTGTCCCAGGCATAGTCTTCAATCCTAGCGCGAAGGGTCTTGCTTTTGCTAGGTAAACAAGTTCCCCTCTACCTGTTCTGTAGATTAGTCTAAGATGTGAAATGAAACTAGGACAGACATCGGTGGTCTATATCGCCTCAACGCAGACGATTCTTGGACTCCTTTGCTTGATTTCGCTGATGATGCACATTGGGATTACTGGGGCACAGGTCTGTGTACTTGTTTCGTTCTATGACTTGCTTATGCTGAATTGTTGTGCCTGATTATTGTTAGACGCTATCGCGACCGACCCAGTCGATCCAGACAACCTTTACATAGCGGCCGGCATGTATACAAATTCCTGGGATCCTAATAATGGAACTATCCTCATCTCCCATGACCGCGGTGACTCGTTCACCGCTGTTCCGTTCCCATTCAAATTCGGAGGGAACATGCCAGGTCGCGGACTTGGTGAGCGTCTCGTCATCGACCCAAACAATGTAAGCTTCTATGAAAATAGTTGTCAAATGAGACGATGCTCAATCGTACTGGAATCGTCCGAAGAACAAAATCCTTTACTTCGGAGCTCGTTCGGGACACGGCTTGTGGACTTCTACCGACGCAGGCCAGACATGGGCGAATGTGACAAATTTTCCCTCTGTCGGCACTTACGTTCAGGATCCTTCCGACTCGTCCGGTCTCGGAAGCGACATCATGGGAATCGGTTGGATCACCTTTGACAAGAACTCCGCAACTTCAGGAGGATCAAGTAGAATTTTCGTGGGAGTTGCGAATATGGGCTCAGATAACGTTTTCGTCTCCGAGGATTCTGGTGCGACGTGGAGTGCCGTCGAGGGTCAAAGAAATGACTTCATCCCTCATCATGGTATGCATTTCACCACACCATATAAAGCCAGGAAATGACGAGCCTAACTTCTTGGCGCAGGCGTCCTCTCACCCGCAGAAGATGCACTCTACATACCCTACGCGAATGGCATCGGACCCTGGGATGGTACTGCCGGATACGTCATGAAGTACTTCATCTCGAACAGTAGTTGGGTAGACATCACCCCTGCACAAGGCATTGCCGACAATAGCTATGGTTACAGCGGCCTGTCAGTCGACCTTCAAAAGCCCGGAACGGTCATGCTTGCTCCATTCAATGAATGGTATCCTGATGCAAAGTGTGTAGCTATTCCAGCATTTACCACGTCGATGAAATGCTCAGATTCTTGTCAACAGCATAATGCGCTCCACGGATGGCGGTGCTTCGTGGACCCAAATATTCAGCTTTGGCTATCCTCCGCCAGACTATGCACTAGCGATCTATCCGAGTTACAATTATGACGTATCTAAGGCGCCATGGATCACAACTTTCAAGACGGGAGACACGAAGACGGTTGGATGGGGAATTCAAGGACTGGCAATCGATCCATTTGACTCAGACCATTGGCTCTACGGCACAGGCCTTACGATTTATGGCGGCCATGACCTGACGAACTGGGATGCGAATCCACGTAAGAACGTTACGATTGCTAGTCTAGCAGACGGAGTCGAAGAAACTGCCGTTCAATCGCTGACCGCTCCTCTATCCGGTCCGAAGCTCGTATCTGCTGTTGGTGATGTTGGCGGTTTCGTGCACACGGACTTGACAAAGCCGCCTCCGACATTCACGAATCCAATCTGGGCTGGGGTAAGAAACAATTCTTTCCACGGGAACCTGATATTCACTCATTTCTCTCTGAGCCTAGACTGCAAGCAGCGTTGATCATGCTGGCGCAAACAATTCTAACATCGTTCGCCTCAGTGGGATCTCCGGTTCGAGCTCAGTATCCGTCGCTACTTCTACTGATGGCGGACAGACATGGTCTCCGTATGCTGGAGCTCCGTCTGTATCTGACAACTTTTACGGTGGAAAGATTGCATCGTCAGCGAACGGTGATACCCTCCTTTGGACACAAGCAACCGGTTTCTCTGGTGTCAGGTTCTCGAAGAACGGATCACCATTCACTGATTCCAATGGTCTACCGAGTGGATCTACTGTCCAGATCGCATCAGATAAGCTGAACAGCACCATCTTCTATGCTGGAGTAGGATCCAAATTTTTTGTCTCGGTCGATGGTGGGGAAACGTTCACGCAGAAGAATGTTTTGGGCAGTGCAACTAGTACAAATCAGATTGCGGCTAGCCCTTTCAATGCAGGCGAGATCTTCGTCTCGACAGACCATGGTATCTGGCACTCGACGGACTTTGGAACTCATTTCGCAGGACTCGGAGGTCCGACTGCAGCATGGAGCATTGCTGTCGGAAAGGCTAAGGAAGCGACTGGCCCACCCGCGCTATTTGCCGCTGCGACTATTGGAGGAGTCAATTCGCTGTACAGGACAGATGACATTGGTATCAACTGGGCCAAATTGCCGACGGTTGACAAGGCCCTTTCGTCTGCATCAAACATGGTGCTTGCTGCAGACCCGAATGTGTACTCGCAGATCTTCGTAGGCACAAACGGAAGGGGTATTTTCGTCGGGCACGCATAAGTTCGTTCTTGGAGGTTGTGTGTTTTGTGTTGTTCTCCACTAAATTTCATCATTGGTTCATTACCGCGCTTGTGTGTTGAGGTAAACCAATCTTGTCAGTTGGCGACTGTCAAGTATACTTGGGACTGAACGAAAAGAGTTGCAAACGGCTGATCATTCGAGCTTAAAAAACGACTGTCGGTTCCGAGGCATGCTGCACCGTTCATTCGGCGTATTTATGGTCGTTTCTCCCGACAGCAAAACGGCCCAATCTATTTTCGTCCTCGTCAATTCTGGGACTATTCGGGCAGACTTCGGAACTTTTGTCCCACAAATCCGCCACTATCAACACATCCCTTCACACTTCAGGGGGAAAATATCACAGCTGCATTATGCGTTGAAACTGATGACATCTTCAATCACTCTTTGGTCGTGCTTGATCTACGCCTAGTTTATTCTGGGTTTTAGACTCCTACGTACCACCGCTTGTTTCGCGGCAATCTCGGGATGGACACATCTTAATACTAAACTTTAGCCGTTATTTCCGAGGAAATACTCCAAGAATGCGTAGTCCGTATGCTCGTCAACTTCTCGAAGACCGGAAATCCGTGTGCGGGCAATCTCCATACCCGACCAGAGTCCTCGCGCGACTTCACGGGCCGCAACAAACATTCCACTCGAAAGCCTCGCTGGCACCAGAGCACGAATGCATTTCAATATGACGAACGAATAGTTAAAAGCCCGCAGAGAAAAGGGTCATGTACACCCAGCAAGTGTACACTCGGTCAACTATGTCTAAGTATCTCCGGCTTGCAACCGCTGCCTTTTTTGCCATTGTCCTAGCTCGCGCTGCGGTAACGTCAGAGCCGTACGTGTGGGAGAATGTCAAGATAGGAGGAGGTGGAGGATTCGTCCCAGGCATAGTTTTCAACCCTAGCGCAAAGGGCCTTGCTTTTGCTAGGTAACCGCGTTTCACTATCTGCTCTACAGATCAAGAGTAACGCGTAAATCATAATTAGGACAGACATCGGTGGTGCATACCGCCTCAATGCAGACGATTCATGGACCCCTTTACTTGATTTCGCTGATGATACACATGCAAATTACTGGGGCACAGGTCTGCATGCCTGTTTTGTTCCGTCCAATTTGTTTATGCTCAAGTATTATGCCGATTATTATTTAGACGCTATCGCCACCGATCCAGTCGACCCCGACAACCTTTATATAGCAGTCGGCCTATATACGAACTCCTGGGATCCTAACAATGGAACTATCCTCATCTCCCATGACCGCGGTGACTCGTTCACCGCTGTTCCGTTTCCATTCAAATTTGGAGGGAACATGCCAGGTCGTGGACTTGGTGAGCGACTTGTCGTCGACCCAAACAATGTAAGTTTTTATGAGAATCGTAGACAAATGAATGATACTCAATTATAACTTATGGAATTGATCGTAGAACAAAATCATTTACTTTGGAGCTCGTTCGGGACATGGCTTGTGGAAGTCGTCCGATGCAGGCCAGACATGGGCGAATGTGACAAACTTTCCCTCTGTCGGCACCTACGCTCAGGATCCATCCGACTCATCCGGTTATGGTAGCGACATCATGGGCATTGCTTGGATCGCCTTTGACAAGAACTCTGCGACTTCAGGAGGATTAAGTAGAATTTTCGTGGGAGTTGCGAATATGGGCTCAGATAACGTTTTCGTCTCCGAGGATTCTGGTGCAACGTGGAGTGCCGTCGAGGGTCAAAGAAATGACTTCATCCCTCATCATGGTATGCATCTCAGCACACGGCGTAAAGCCAGGAAATGACGAGTCTAACTTCTTGGCGCAGGTGTTCTCTCACCCGCAGAAGATGCACTCTACATACCCTACGCGAATGGCATCGGACCCTGGGATGGTACTGCCGGATATGTCATGAAGTACTTCATCTCGAACAGTAGTTGGGTAGACATCACCCCTGCACAAGGCATTGCCGACAATAGCTATGGTTATAGCGGCCTGTCAGTCGACCTTCAAAAGCCCGGAACGGTCATGCTTGCTCCATTCAATGAATGGTATCCTGATGCAAAGTGTGTAGCTATTCCAGCATTTACCACGTCGATGAAATGCTCAGATTCTTGTCAACAGCATAATGCGTTCTACAGACGGTGGTGCTTCGTGGACTCAGATCTTTAGTTCCGGTTATCCTCCACCGGACTACTCTCTAGCAATCTACCCAAACTATAACTACAACGTGTCTAAGGCGCCATGGATCACGACTTTCATGACAGGCAACACGGACACGCTCGGTTGGGGAATTCAAGGACTGGCAATCGATCCCTTCGACTCGGACCATTGGCTCTATGGCACAGGGCTTACAATTTACGGTGGGCATGATCTAAGAAACTGGGACGCAAATCCACGAAAGAATGTTACGGTTGCTAGTTTGGCAGATGGGGTTGAAGAAACTGCACCTCAAGCCTTGACTGCTCCTCTGTCTGGCCCGAAGCTTGTATCAGCTGTTGGCGATGTTGGTGGTTTCGTGCACACAGACTTGACAGAGCCGCCTCCGACATTCACGAACCCAATCTGGTCTGGGGTAAGATTAATTTCTTCCGTGAGATTTGACTATTGATTTATTTACATCTGAACCCAGACTGCGACTGGTGTTGATCATGCTGGTGCTAATCATTCTAACATCGTTCGTCTCAGTGGAATCGCCGGTTCAAGCTCAGTATCCGTCGCCACTTCAACCGACGGTGGACAGACATGGTCTCCGTATGCTGGATCTCCGTCCATATCGGACAACATTTACGATGGAAAGATCGCGATGTCAGCGAACGGTGATACCCTCCTTTGGACACAAGCAACCGGTTTCTCTGGTGTCAGGTTCTCGAAGAACGGATCACCATTCACTGATTCCAATGGTCTGCCGAGTGGATCTACTGTCCAGATCGCGTCTGATAAACTGAACAATACTGTTTTCTATGCTGGAGTAGGATCCGAATTCTTCATTTCGGTCGATGGTGGCGAGGCATTCACGCAGAAGAATGTATTGGGCAGTTCAACTAATACATTACAGATTGCGGCCAGTCCTTTCAATGCGGGCGAGATCTTTGTCTCGACAGACCGCGGCATTTGGCATTCGACGGACTTCGGAACTAATTTCACAGAGCTCGCTGGTCCGACTGCAGCATGGAGTATTGCCGTGGGGAAAGCCAAGGAAGCAAGTAGTCCCCCTGCGTTTTATGCTGCCGCAACCATTGAAGGAGTGAGCTCGTTGTTCAGAACAGACGACCTTGGTATCAACTGGGCCAAATTACCGACAAAAGACAAAGCCCTCTTATCTGCATCAAACATGGTACTCGCCGCGGATCCGAACGTGTACTCGCAGATCTTTGTTGGTGCTGGTGGGAGAGGTATTTTCGTCGGGCATGCATAAACTCATCTTTCTTGGGAAGGCCCGCGTTTCATGCTGTTCTTCACTAAATTTCCTTGCTGATTCATAAATGTGCTTGCATACTGATTACCACTGTTAGTAAGCTCTGATAAAATGTTTATGAATTATTGATAACTGGGATGAACACTGCTGATCTCTCAAGCTATTTCTAAGCACAATTTGAAAACAAGTTCCCGGGAGTATGAAATCAAATGTTCCAACCGCTTTCCACGGTCGGTCAGCACTGGCTCATTACTTTATATATTTAGACAGCATGCGGCAGCGGCGTAGGAAGCGTGTGTAGATACAAGAACGCATGGGAAGTAGTGGGAAGTGGCCCACGCCTTATAGTAAAGTTAGCACGCTGTCGAAGCGGAGGCGTTGGAATCTATAAAATTTGTGAGACCGGATTCTGGCCAAGAAAGTCTGGAACCCTGTTTATTGGACTTTTTATGTTTACAACTGTCGAAAGGAACGTAGGCCAGCCTCGATTCGCTTGGAAACCGAGTGACATTTTCGGACAAGTATCAAATAAATAATGACATTTTCCGATGGGCTGATGGAGGATACACAGGTGACAGCAAGCCGGTTAAGTACTTTATGGATGTGTTCGAGGCCAAGTGGAACGATGATCATTGATACCCCGCATTTGGTAAGTCTAAATTAAGGTTTGCTTTATGCAGCATACAGTGCGCGTCAAA